CTTGCGAGATGCCACTGTCGACAATCCACTGTGCAAAATCCCACTCATCTCTGCTAGAAAATGGGGCCCAGCTAGGTTTTTTTTCGATGGCTTGCTTTGCGAGCCGGTCTTCGAAGACGGTGGGATGCCGTTTGAACTTATGGCCGGCAAAGGGAATCTGAGTAGCGACTATGGGTGGGATCATGACTAGAGGATGCCAAAGAACCAGGTATGCAGAGATGCGAGTGATGAGGTTGAAGTACGAACAGTTGGCATCCACGTCTGACGCGTCAGTGCACAAGGGGTGACAAATCCGGTAAGCCAACACCCTTGCCATCTCTCTTGTCTCCTGCGCGCTACCCCCATACTACATACACACTCATTTTCATCCGTCGACCCGTCCGCAGACTTGTTTTGGTAACCAACAATACAACATGTCGGCGAGGGGGAGGCGGGGTCGTGGAGGGGGTCGTCCAGCAAGCACTAGACGTTCCTCGGCCCCAGCTGGACCTGGTAACGAAAATACTCCTCCGGCAACAGCATCCCCGCCAGTCTCTTCGGCTCCGGAGAACTCGCGTCGACGTTCGTCTCGTACCATACAGGCAACCCCACATGCAGATCCCGGTAAGAATGAGCATATGGTCGAGGGTCCACAAGGAATCTCACCTGATGTTTCGTCAATCTCAGCTCTTGTTGAGAACATGCGCCCCGGAAATGTTGCACATTCTGAACATCCAGATACAGCCGGGTTTTTCCAAGACGAAACTGATCTAGAACTGTCTCGCGAAGAACAAGCCCAGCAACGTGGAGACGAAGACACAGTCGACGACACCTACACGGAATCGCGCGGCCGTGTGCGACGGCAACCTCCACACAGTACTGGGAGTGCTGCCGAGATTCCGGTACCTACGGTGCGTCTCTGACTTGTTTCTACATTGCTATTGCTCAGTTTTGCATGAAGTTCACAGCACACGTGGCGGCGACAGCGGCTCGTGGCACCGGTACAAGCCAAACAACTGCAAGTCACGGAATCCCCTCTTACCGTTTGCCTACTATTCCCATCCCTTCGACGCCAGCCGGGCCTCGTCCTATTCGCTCAACAGTGACACCTGTCAGCGGTCAAGTACACGAGGCCTCCCAGATGGACACGCGTGCACTGGCGGCTGCTGTCCACTATACGAACGCCCTGTACGAATCACGAGCCCCCTCTCTGCCAGGCTCTACAGCTACGATGCCAGCCCACGCGCCAAACCGTGACGGTGTACCGACATCCGGTCAAATCATCGCTGAAGGTTCCTCCGTGATTGGGAACAAACGACCGCTCGATGGAGACACGGATGAAGCCGAGTCTTCTGCGGCCGATCGTCGCCGCCAACGCAAGGCACTCCATAATGCCAAACGTCTTCGTCATAGCGATTTGAAGGACGACTTGCTTACACGGCAGCTATTCAGGGATGCAAGCCTTGCGCTCAAGGTCCACTTCCTGACAGTCGAGCCATTCCCTTCGGTTGAAGACCGTGAGGAGGTCGTCACTGCGAAGTTCAATGCTGTCTTGAGGCAGCACTCCCTCGACGAGGGCACTCGTTCGCTCACAAAGCAAGAGTTCGATCTCGCAAGTATAATTACATTCCGAAATTTCCGTGACACTAATTGAACCAATCCTCTCTTAGCTCAAGAACGAAGAGACCAAGGTGCGCTCTGCTGTCATCCGCGCCGTCATGCAGAAGCTCCCGGACAAATACGGACTCAAAGCTGTCCCGAAGTCGCCAGCTGACGCCGAACACAACAAGACGACCGTCCATTACCTGTTACACGGCAATGTACCACAGGTAGCAACAGTGTCGGGGCCCTCTGCATCCACTACTACCAGTATTCTCGGGCCTAGCGGAACGGCGTCAGGACGGGCGGCGACAAACGTGCAGCTTCCAGTCGAACAGACACCTCGCTTTGAGGTGCAAGGCGGCTGTTTCCATTTCTCGGTGAGCCTGCCACCACGACGAACTACCTACAGTCCCTTCTTGACTTTGTATTGCTTCCAGAACCCGACGTCAAAGCAGGGTGCGTTTCGCAACCCAATCATCAGTGATGTCATCTTCGAGGTCTGTTTCGGTCACGGGCGCGCTCTGGGACCCGACCCGCTCAACAGAGAGCAATTTGATCCTATTCCGCACACTTTAATGGCTTTCGTTCTCACGGCGGTGGGTACCCTAGTCATTGACTCATCTATTCCTTGCGAAGTCTCGTTACTGAATGCCTAATATCGCAGGTTCACCATGGCCTGAAGCGGTTCGCGACAGGGTACCGCAAAGATGTGTCATTCACCAAATCGACCTACGACATATACGACGCTTTCCTCAACGCGCTCGAGCAGCTACGTCACGAACGCGCATGGACAAGCTACAGGCGGGAACTATACCACCTCGGGCTGTACGTACTGTTTCTTCATTGCATATGTGAGTCACTTATCAGGCGCATTCGTAGACGACACGCACAGGTGTATGTAGAACCGAATGCGGAAACAGCCCCTATCATCGCGCCAATGTCTCAAGAGCAAATCAGTCGCGAGATGCGCTCGCTCGCCGAGGAACTTGGAGGCGTAGGCGATGGGGATCCGCCGATTGACGAGACAGTCGATCATACCACCAATGCCTCCGAGTCGATTATTCCCAGTCACTCCACGGATCGTATTCAGGACCATGGACCTCAGGCCCCTGTCGTCACATCTTGACATTAGGTACATATCTCTACTATCATTCTCTAGTTAGTGCTGGCACCTTGAACTGGGACTCGGATCGTAGGGTACTACTACGGCGACTCGGCTTAATGTACATACAGTATGCTAGTTTGGTTTGCATTGTCCTTTGCTGTTGGTAATAGACGACATACATTCGTTCGTTGCATTCAAGTCTGTGCCTGTACTGTCTTAGAATGGTGTTATTCGGTGTCTACTCATTAAAATCACCCAGGGTCTCGCTGCAATACCTCAATTCTCGAGTAGTACATGCTGGAGGTTCGATCTCTACCTACTGTACGATCGAACTACACATCTCCACCGAGAGAATCACATCTCTATGAGATATCCTCCGCGAGTCAGTTGTTTCCATATGATCGCCACATCTCCACGGTCTCGATGGCTCCATATGGTGCGTGACGGAGCCGCTGGAGAATGACCGTTTTCCTGATGACCGTGCTCGCCGCAGAAGTTGCACTGGTCTGAGCTAGGCGCGTAGCTCGCTCCACCACGGTCGTATCCCCCTCCGCGTCCGCCTCCCTGGCTATAGTCGTACCCTCCGGTCCCGGCCTGACCGTATCCTCCGGTCGTCTGTGCTGGCGGCGGTCCTCCGTATCCTCGGCCTCCGGCAGCCGGCGCCCCTCCTCCGTATCCTCCTCCTCCGCCCTTCATCATACTCATAGCTGCAGCAAACACACGCCCCAGCATAGCTTCGTCGACGGACTCGGTCTTTACTCCGTCCGTACCGCTTCCTCCGGGACTCCCCCCACCTGTACTGCTCGCTCCGGCGGCCCCTCCGTAGCTGACCGCGTCAAGACACTGCTGCGCGGCATCGTGCACCTGCTCCAGGGTGTATCCGTCCACCGGATCGACGGTCGGGTTACGTATCTCGACGCGACGGCGGATGGCCTCAGCGGACGCGTCCGTGAATCCAGCCATGTAGACCTTGAAGACCTGCGAATCGGATACGCGGCCATTCTTCTTCAGGTACTTGGCCACCGGAAGGAACTTGCGGTAGTACTCCGCTTCGCTGGAACGCGTAGCGGTGCCCTCCGCCCTTGCCGTGGCCGACGCGGCCTCAAGGTCGCTGACCAGGTAACGGGACGTACCATCCGACCCGGGGTACAGGGCCATGATGCTCTTCTTGTATTCGTCGAACGACGCCGGCGTAGGTACCTCGACCTCGTCCCATAGCTCGGACTGGTCCGGCTTGAGGTAGCGCTTCGCGTAGTATACCTTCCGGGCGTCGTCCTCGACGCTAGCGATGGCAAAGAGTTCAGCGAGGTCGTCAAAGTAGCGTCGGAGGGAACGAGGTTGACCGTCAAAGGTCGGAGCAGCGCGATCGCCACGGACGGGCATGGAACGTACTGGTGGTGCGGCCATTGTTTCGGTGGGACGCGGAGGAAGGTCTGATGAGGAGAGGGTAGATGATGACGGGGCACGAGATTCGGGTATCGGAATGGGGGTCTGCTCGAGCTTAACGACGGGCGCCGTTGACTTGCTGTCGGAGGGAAGCGATAGGGCTCTCCTCCGGGTGGTGACGGCTAGCGGGATCGAGTCGCTCGATGATGACGTGGCAGGGGAACGGGGTGCTTCTACGGCCTCGAAGAATGAATACTCTCCGTCGCTGTCTTCGGAACGGTGCGGGGGTATGGCTTCTAACGCTGGCGCGGGCAGGGTGACGTTGAACGGTGTGTCCGGAGAGTACTGTGCAACGGCGACCTCCTGTAAGAGGTTTCGCTTTGGTCCGCGCGGCGGCTGCTGCCTTGTAGGGATCGACGGCTGGTCGTTGTTACGCGGTTGCCTGGGAGGCAGCGTGACGAGTCACCAGAGGGTGTCGATGAGTTTTACCAACAAGCTATACCCCCTCGCGGTGGGCTCCAGTTGTGTAGGTTGCGAGTCTCCCGGGTCGAAAAGAGACCGGAAGGAATCGATGGTGTCGGTAGAAACGACGGGCGGGGGCTGTTGGCAAGCGGATGGGGAGGGGATGTGACGATTCGGGCCCGGAGGGGACGTACGAGCTCGGATACTCGCAGGGGACACTGTAACGCGGTCGGAGGAGAGTGGTGGAGTCGTCCCACAACGCAGGGACTCAGAGTGAACGCGTAGAAACTCGTTGAAGCCGGATAAAACGCAGAGAGCCGGAAGGAAACGCGGTGCTCGTTGAAGGTGAACGCAGTGATCTATTCGCAACGCAGTAGACGCAGTAAACGCAGGACACAGTCAGAAACGCAGGGAATCGCCGTTGAGCTCGCTCTCTACTCCTAGGTGGTAGGTAGGTAGGATCTCCCCCCGTCCGGTCCCCGGCTCCCTCCCTTATGTCCCCTCCGGCTCGCTATCCCACGCCCCCGCCTCGCTGGCACCCTTCTCCGTACTCACCCGTTCCCTCCGGTCCCTCTTAAGCCCCCTCCTTCCCTTCCTTTACCGTCTCCCGTCCAGTGCCATGCCGTCCGATGCCCCACCCAATCCCTCCGCCATCGTCTACTCCACTCGCTTCTACCGTCTTCTCGCTCTCCTCCGGGATGAACGAGTCGTCGAGCCGCGTCTTGTCGCTGACAGTCCTACCGAATGGTTGGCCTGGGCCCACGGCGCCCGCTGGATCATCGTGGGTGATATTCTTCTCGTCTATTCCCCGTCCGGCGGGCTGATCCTCCTTCCGGTACGTAGCGCATGCTCTTCGACTCCCGGGCGCGAGCTACCGCGCATGGCGACGCGTCCCTCCCTCTCATCCGCCGGTTCTCCGACGTCCAGGAACTGATCGACTACCTTGACCAGGTGTTCTCGACCATCGCGTCCGAGCATAGCGTCATTGGCGAGCCGTACCCTGCTATCGCCTGGTCCGCCAACCGCGTCGCTGTTGAGCAGTCCGATGTCGAAGTGGGCCGTCCGTTGCTCCCGGTCCGGTACCTCGAGAGGCCCATGCAGCTCTCCCCCCTCCGGGCTTCCTCCGACGGCCTCGACGCGCTCATCTCCCAGCTCCAGCGTTACGCTACCGTTCAACGTGACGCATCCGCCTCCTTTCAGTCCGAGGCCCAACACACCCGCCGTATTCTCTCCGCCCTGGCGTCCAGTGTTGCCGGCGTGCATGATCGTCTTTCACGTGGCGTGTACGTTCCGGACGCTGACTATTCCGGCATTCCGTGTCGCCTTCAGTTCCCTCCGGCGCGTACTAGTGACGACTTCGAGGATGCGGGTGTCGAAACTGAGACCGAGACTGATTTAATGGATGAGGGGGAGAGTGTGCGTGAGGGGTAGTTCGTTCCTGTACCCTCCGGTGCCGTCCACGGCTGCCTCCGGTTGCCCTACCGAGTTGCTTTCCGGTCGTGCTGCCTGGGTAACCTATCCTTCGACATTCCTTCCGTGTGTAACGTCGTCTGTTGTCTCCTGTGGTCGTGTGCCCTATATCCGTTGGTTCCGGGCCTGCTCTGTGGGGCTTCCCCACAGCGCCCTCCGCCTAACCGTGCATGCTAACGTGTCTCGTCCGCAGGCTAGTGTCCCTGTGACACGCGTCCAGCATGCGCAAATGCGTGGACTGCGGTGCGTCTTCTGCGCTGTTCATCTCCGTACATCCAGCATTCCTGACGCGCGGTCCATCCTTCCGAGATGCTCATCCAGCGGAGCGTCGTTAACGGGCAAGCAAGCGAGAGCGGGCGGGTGGGCGAGCTCTCCAAGAGGCATGCAAACGAGCTGGTGGCGGCGTGAGTAGGCAGACGAGCAGGGCGAGTGTGCGAGCAGGCGAGCGAGAGTGAGCGGGTGAGGCCGGGCGCCAGACTGCCAGACAAGTAGGGCACGACAAACTCAGTGCTCATCGATGCACCTAGTCAAGCATGGTACCTGATTACAGAGATCGTCAGTATGTATACAATGAATAGCTCACCTTCCGTAATTGTGTGTCCGCAAGCTTCCTTTGGTTCGCCACCCCTTGCCCCTCATCCTTCCATCTCTCCCTTGGTCTGCTGTCATTGCACTCGTGCTTGTTTTGCTCGGGCTTGTTGCAATCGGGCGCATTGTTTCCAGACTGGGGAGTGACACGGGTGCCTCTGGCACGTTGCTGTTGTCCAAGTTGGTGACCGCACCAGCACCGCAGGCGCGTCTGGCATTTGCGCGAGTGACAGGTACGGTCACGGGTCCGGGTTTGGTCCGGGTCACAGAAACGTGACCCGGACCCGGACCCGGGCATACCCGTACCCGGTACCCGCACGGGTTCCCACGACCCGTGCTCTGCACTATTACCAAGTGACTGGAAGTGCAGCAGCAGCTGGCTGGCCACCAGCAACAGGGTGCTTGCTGATAGCTGGTCATTCCCAAGGTGTTGGCTATGAGATAGTTGTCTGGTTGAGGAAGTGATGGATCTCTTTGAGTTGGGCTGCAGAGCACTGCAAAAAGTCAATTAGAGCAGCAGGTCATGAGCTGACCTTGTGTATAGCCCTGAGTCCACAGTAGCTTCACTGAGTTAATGAGTGCCCAGCCTGATGAGAGACCAGCTGTTTCTGAAAACCAGTAGTAGGTACATCAACCCTCATGTATTATGCAACACACCTGAGCTATTTCAAATCAAGTTACTCATTGGCTAACAAGCAAAAACCTGTGGTCAACCTCAGTAAGCTACCAAGATCACCTAAGGCCAATGAGAACTTTACCAAGGCAATCAGCAAGAAAGATCAAAGCTAGGGAGAAGAGCTCAAACTCACATGTAAGGGCAATGAATGGATGAAGAACCTTAAGTTCCAGGAGTACAATACACAATACACTGCCAAATCTAGGTCCAAGCTCTACAATAAGTGATCTATCTAAGTCATGATTCTACAAAATGAAGTGGCAACTACAATCCAAGTGTGAGTCCCAGTGATTAAGTATTATTCCACGACAATGACTGTCATATATTTTGGATATTGTAACAAAGGTGCCCTTGAGATAAAGTCAAAGGTTGGAGGTCCAAAGTCCAGAGGAAATTATGACAGTCATTGTTTCAAAACAAATACTGACATCCACAACCTAGTTATTGCATAAGACTTACTACTTACTTGACACGTAAACTGTACACCTTAGACATAAATTTGCTCCATTTTGTACACTTGATCCCTGCATTCACAGATATTTCTGACCATGTCAATCTGTATATAGATTGCAGCGAGGCATAGATTGGTTGTATTCTCCACTCTAGAACACCTGATTCTGCTTTGGTGGCTTGTCAATCACTTAATGCAGAATTGTCAGCCATCTGTGGCAACTCTGTCTATGTGCGTTGCTGTTCATTGCACTGCATGGATCTGCATGGATAGCACAAATCTGAAAGCCCACTTATGATTCTACAAAAGTGAAATTCCTCTTAAGAAATCATTATCGATGAGACATATGGCCTGATATGCTTCAGAAAATTCAGACACCGGGGAGAGCCATGACTAGTCCCCGTGGTTCCCATGATATTGAGAGGCAAAGATGTTGTAACACATATGACAGAAGTGGATGAAATGAATGAAGGAACACTATGTGTCATAGAGAATAATGGGGAAACCATCTGGAGCAGTGGCCCTGGCAAGTGTGAAGTTTGTCCTGATTTGGCAAGGCTGCCTCAGTCTCACCTCGGGCATCCATTAAGTCTGAGTCACGTGAAAGTAAGACTTGCCCTCAAGTAATTGTCCGCAAAACTGTCACTCATAAGAAATTGAGGACTTGGGGAATGGAGAACAGAATGCAGAGTGCAGAGATAGAGTTGGAGGAAAGTTGGAGAAAGTGAGATAAGACTTAGAGGTCAGACAGATGTCCAGAGCTCAGGTGAGAGTTCAGAGGAGTCAATAGAAATAGGATAAATAAAATACTTGTTCTAGAGTACAATCTACAGTCTGAGCTTATCTACATCTGAGCTTATATAGACTAAATGTGGAAAGGAGACAATAGGAACATATTCAAGGATATAGAAAACAGTAATGTGTATCCAGAGATACAGAAACTCTGAGACAAGTGCAACAAGCTAAATGTGCAGAGGAACTAGAGACAATGTGGTATACTACTTCTAATGCAAGAAAAGACATAGTAAGCAAATTCAACAAGCTCAGATATCAGAGAAACAGCAACAAAAACAGACTTGGGAGCTAGAGATGAGCTTGGTAGCACAGAATGTGACAGACAAATGCACTCCTGCTTTCAGAAATGTTCTGACAAATTTGGCAAGTATTGTGTGGGTAGGTGCTGGTCCTGCACACTTGACACTGGTTTGACCTGGGCAGACACAGGTGGTTTGCTTTTAACTTCATGGAGATATTTCTGTGTGGCTGCACAGGGGGCCTTCTAGTCAACTTTCATATATGAAATTTTCCATATTTGGTAAAAGGGGCCATGTTTGTTGAGTCTTGAATGTGTGTTGTCCCTGGCACCAATATGTCCTGGACATCAATAGCATTGATTGCCATCCTATAAACTAGGCTGAGGATACATACTACAAAACACTAATACACATTAACTCCATCCTACACATTCGGATGAGTCCATTGCATCTCAAAGTCCATGTACAAAATCATACCAATACAATAACGACAAAAGGGTGAGGGTAAAAGGAGATAGTGATGAACTGCATGCGGAGATGTCGGATAGGCGGACATATGAGGACTTGCCCGTGGCGTTTTCTTCACACCTACGCTGAGCTGCGGTGTTTCACGGAGTACTCAACCCACGCATACCACGCGCCGCCTGCAAGGGTGACGCATATCCCAAGCGCATTCGCAGGGGTGATTGTCAGGTGGAAGATGCCCACCGCACAGAGGATCGTCAGCGCCTGCTTCACGTTCGCTGCCACCACTTGTCAGTTCATCGTGTCAGGCTGACGTGTACTGAAGACACTCACCAGCCACCGTCATGTTCAGCGCCCCGACCTTCTTGTTCGCGCTCAGACTGACCACGTTCAGCCCGAACGCGATCACGCCGTTCCCCAGTATAACGAGTACGCGCCCACAGCCCGCCATCGTGTGCGGCACCAACGACGTACGCGCCTGCCCGAGCTCGCCGGATACGCACGCGTAGAAGAGACAGAGCGCGCAGGCGAGGGGTGACGTGCGCGTGAGGAGGTCAAGTGGGTGAAGGGCAAGGCGCGGGGGGACAGGGAGACGCGCCGAGTGTGGGCGGGAGCTGCTAGGCGAGGATTGGAGGACGTTGGTGTAGATAGTCTTGAGCGCGGCGAGGAAGGTGCCGAGGAGGGTGAGAAGGAGGCCAAGGAAGGTGAAGTAGTAATCGCCATAGGTGCTAAGGGTCAGTCAGTGGTCGGTCGGGTTAAGGAGAAGGAGAAGGAGAAGGAACGTACGCGAGGGCTACGCCAGCCATGACGGGGATGAGGGAGAGTATCTTCAGGCGAGTGAACTGTGTGCCGAAGAGAAGCATGGAGAGGGCGGTAGTGAAGATGGGCGTTGCGGCGCGGACGACTTGGTGGAACTAAAGGGAATGAGATTGAAGGCCAGCATCGATAGAGGGACTACGCACCGGAATGGTCACCATCTGCAACGACACATTGCTTACCGCGATGTTAACCGCGTACAACACACCGAACGCCGCCAGTGCAGCCGATGACCTCGCGCTGAGTTTCGCAGGCACGTAGGTACCCCGTCTCCGTAAGGTCAAGCCTCCGAGCGTCCCACAGAGTGCGTGAAGCGCAGTTAGCGTGTACGGGAAGGGGAAGTGGACAAGAACCAGCTTGTTGTAGAGCGTCAGCCCGAGATTGAACGTGAAGTACAGGACGAGCCAGAACGCCTGAGTCTCCACGAACTGCGGTAGGGTGAAGAATTGGCTGCGTTTCGTGCGTCGGAGGGTGAGCCGTTTCGAGCTCTCGGTAGCGTACGGCGAGAGGACGGGCAGGGCGGGCGCCGAGCCAACGTCTGTAAGGATGGGTGATGGTGGGATAGAGCTGCCCAGGGATGTACTATGCGAGAAGCCCGGACGGTGTCGCGGCGAGCCATACGGCTTGTCTGACGACGAGGGCAGCGCATCCAAGGGCTGGAAAACGACCGAGGTGGGACCGTCGTCGTGCAGCGCGCTGCCAAAAGCAGGTGCACGGTCGCGTACTTGAGATCGCAACGACTGCCAGCGAGAGCTGCTGAGGTCTGGCGAGCAAAAGAACGAGCCTATTCGCGGGCTCTGCGGGCGGTGCGCGGGCACGTCGAAGTGGTTGCTGCTGAGGCGGGCGGGGCGCATCGCGAGGCTGAGAAAAGACAGACGAGGGTGGGCGCGAGGCGGATGTCGTGGGCGATGACGGGGATGGCGGCGAGGACGTCCAGCGCGGTGCTGGCGGCGATGAGGGAGCCGAGCTCGACGTGCGCGACGACGGAGGACAACATCCGCTTTAGGAAGGTAGTCACGTGGTATCATTATGTGGCCACCCACAAACTCAAAGTCTGCGGTTTCTTTCCAGCACTCATCTGCTGCGTTCTGCGGTTGTCAACTGCGCTCGTTAGGAATCCGTCGCAACAGTGAATACGACTGCACACGACTTGCGAAAGCGTGACGCAGCGCTGCTTCTGGCGACTCGGACAGACGACGTACCTCCTGTCAATGTCGAGTGCGCCCGGCCCAATCGGCGCAGGTCCAAGCAACGCACCCATTTCAAGGAACAGCCGCAAGCGAGTGCGCTCCGACTCGGAGGACACGAGCGACAGGGAAGGCGCACGTAACAGCGAACAGAACAGAGGCAAGGGCGCTGCGATCGCTTCTGAGCCACACCGCGACAGTTCGACTAAGGAAAGGAAGAGGAAACGCAAGCGCAAACGGCACCCTGTCGTTGAGACTACCGAGGCCCCGCGAGTACTCACAATGCCCGTGCCTGGTGTGCCAGGCTCGAGGCTATCGAGAAAGCGGTCGCGTTCTGGCGCCAGGAAGGCTGCGATGGCTCTCGTCGCAGGCCCGTCTACCAGCGCTGGGGCCAACAGTACGCACGGTATCCCTCATATTGCATCGTCGCCGACAGTCAAGACGGCCAGCCCCGAGCCCCGACCTGTGTCTCCACCGGTGAGCTTCTCATCACTCCTTGCATTCCGCGGATATTCACTTTTGTCAAGGCTATTGCTATGTCTCTGAAAGGGAAGGAGAAGGCGCAGTCACCCGACACGTCTGCCCTCTCTGCGGAAGTGGCGTCACTCAAGGCCCAGCTCGCCGCAAAGTCCGAGGTACGTACAGAACCTATCACTCTGCGTCACTCGCTCATTACCGTATCTCCAGCTCGTCTCGAAACAACGCACCCTCCTCTCCACCCTGCACCAGTCGCTCATGTGCCAAATCTGCCTCGACCCGCTGCACAAACCCTACGCGCTCGCGCCCTGCGGGCACATCGCGTGCCATGGCTGCCTCGTCGCGTGGTTCCAGTCGCCGCCAGCCGACGCACATCCGCACGACGTGCTCCCCGCGCTCCTCCGGAAGAAGACGTGCCCGCACTGCCGTGCGGTCCTGCGCGAGCGGCCCATCGAGGTCTGGGCGGTCAAGGACATGGTCGGCAACTTCTTTAGGAGCGACCTCGCGGACCCGCCGATGAATCCCCCGCGCCCGACGCACCCGACGCACCACACGAGCGCGCGGACCCGTGGGACGGGATCTTCCGGAAGCCGCTCGCGAACGTGGCGGGGGCGGGCGCACCGCTGTTCTTCCCGGATCCACCTCCCGCGGCGGCGGCGCTGCACACGATACTCGGGATGCACGACGCGGAGGACGGCGGGATCTACCGGTGCGTCGACTGCGGGCACGAGATCTGGGACGGGATGTGCTCCGCGTGCGACAGGGTGTACCCGGGGCACGCGCGGAACCACGAGCATGCTGGGTTGGACGAGTCGCACGGGTGGGACGAGGAGTCGGACGGGGACGGGGACAGGGCAGAGGGGATGGGTCACTGGCTGGACGGGGTCCTGTTCGGGCGGCGGAGGGGGGAGTGGGCGTGGCCGGAGGAGGGGGACGGGGACGACGATGGCGTAGACGAGGAAGACGTGACGGACGTGGACGACGAGGACGGGAGTGTGGTGTACGGCGGCGCGCATGGGTTCGTGCCGATGATACGGAGCCGCCTGTTTGGCGGGCTCGGGAGCGCGAGCGGGAGCGAGGACGGTGACGAGGACGATGAATGTGGATATGAGAGCAGCTTCATCGACGACGACGGCGCGGAGGACGGCGCGGAGCGGCATTCGCCGCCGTTCCGGCAGGACCTGGCGGTAGGAGGCGCGATTGGAGAGGACGATGCGTTGGTTGTGGGCTCGGATGAGGACGGAGACGACCTTGGGTCCGAGGAGGAGGACGTGGACTTTGTGCCCCCGGTTCCTGCGCGGCGCCATCGGTTTGTCGTGGAGAGCGATGAAGAGGAGGAAGATGCCCCGAGCGATGAGGATGATGGGCATTCCGTCAGGTATGGGCTTCCCTTGTCGTGCTCGAATGGAGTATGCTGACCTTGTTTCGCAGTGATAGCGGCCTAGCCGACGCCGTGGCTGATAGGGAAAGGTAAGGTCTTAGTCCATCGACCCGTAATCATTACTCACGTTCTTCATGCTAGGATCATATATGGAGATGATGGTTCTGTTCCGCACAATTTCGTGCACAGTTCCTCGCCCATCCATGTCTACTCCGACGAGGACGACGCGCCCGCCCACGCGGACCATTTCCCCCTCTACTCCGACGAGTTCGCGGCCGTGGAGGATGACCACCCCGGCCCGTGGGGCGAAGATGCAGACGAAGCCGACGACCATCCCGGCTCATGGATCGACGACGCAGGCGAGGGCGAGCACTACGGCCATGGCGACGAGGAGAGCGTGTACGGCGACGATGCGCCTGCGAGCGGGGACGAGTATGAGTACGGCGACGCGGCGTGGTGAGGGGCGCGGTGGTCGGGTGGGGGTGGTACGGACGCGAGCGGAGTCGCGGTGTGCTGCGTACGCTATGTGTACAGTTAATGTAGGCGCTGACATCCTATGAGAACGGGCTGCGCTGGCTGGTCCTGTTATTCGCACAGCTGCGACGTGTCCGGCTCTGCACCATATTGTCCGTAGATGGTGTGTATTGACCGCGAGCAGTGGCTTGGTTACTTTTTGCGCTCGAGACCGCCTGATCCTAACACGTACATGTCTGTTCCGACCCACAGCGCGCCCTTTTCCCGCTGGAGTCCCGCGTTGTTTCGACTGACGAACTCGGTAAGCCCCAACTCTATTCACTACTCATTCGGGACACTAACAGCAACCGTCTAGCTTTACAGGCAGGGTTCGAAGGAACAGGAACGCGTGACGTCACCCCCGCGCGCCCCAGCCAGCCTCCCCTCGCGCGTCACCAGCCCCGCCAGCCACCCGCCGCGCTGCAGTATATAACGCCCCGCCGCGCTCCTCCACACAAACCACAATCCCAACCACACCCCTCTCTCCATTCCACTCTTAACGACCTTTCACGACCTACGGATCTGTTATAATCGAGCGATGGGCCTGTTTTCTTCGAGCAAGTCGGGCGGGGCGGCGCCGGAGGACGCGGAGACGCGGCAGGTGGAGAAGGTGCTCGCGAAGGAGGCGAAGGGCGAGCAGAAGAGCTTCGACCACGCGCTGAAGGACCTGAAGAAGCTCGACAAGACGCACGAGAAGTCGATCAAGGTGCGTCGCGCCGCGCCGCGGGTGGGCTGCGCGCGGGTGGGTGCTGATTGCGGGTGCGGGTGCGGCAGGCGGCGGACAAGGCGCAGCACGCGCTGGACAAGGCGGTGAAGGGCGAGCACGCGCGCGCGAAGGCGCTGAACGAGGCGGAGCACAAGCACGACGACGCGGTCTCGGCGCAGCGGAACGCGTCCAAGACGCTCGAGGTGCGTTTCCCGTTCTTTCCTGCTGATCGGCGGGTTGCGCTGATGGCGGGTATCGGGTAGCTGAAGCGGCAGCACGAGGGCCAGCTCGAGCAGGACCTGCAGCAGCGCAAGGCGTCCGTGGACGAGGTGCAGCGGAAGAAGGCCGCGAACGACGTGAGTGCCAGTCCGTTTCCGTACCCTTCCCCGCCGCCGTGTCGTCGCGTCCCTGTCGACGCGGCGCTCGTGTTTCCGATGCCCCCGAGGGAACGCACGAGCCGGCGTCTCTGCGGACCTCTCCCTTCCTCCGGCGAGTTGCGACCACGGACGGTGCTGACCCCGCTGTGCCCGCAGGCCGTGCGCGAGTCGAAGCTCGCGCAGATGCACCAGCAGGCGGCGGACCGCGCGCGCGCGGGCTCGCTCGACCTGCCCAACGGGCCCGCTGATGGCGCGGCTGGCACGGGCCACGCGCAGGCGGCGGGCACGGGCACGGCGGGCGTGGACGCGAACGGGACGGCGATCGCGAGTGGGGACAGGGCGTAGGTGCTGCAGTCGGTGGTGCTCCGTCTGTCTCGTAGTGCTGCCTGGCTTATAATGTGTTTCCTTTTGTGTGACTACTACTATATCTTACCCTTGCGTAATGTCACTGCTCGATGTGTGCCTCTCACCCCTCCGTCGGCGTACCGTCCACACCTGCGGACGCACGGGGGCAAGGCGAGTACTTGCATGCCCAGATACTCTCAGGGCAGGACCGCAAGGGTTAGACTCGATTCGAGGGCCGAGGCAGCTCTGGGGTGCCCGCACGCGTCACCACCGCTCCAGCATAAAGCTCCCTGCCGCTCGCCCCCACCCAGCTCCAGCTCCATCCCACTCTTACGACCTCTCACGAGCACTCTGCGCGACCCCACTGACTTACTACTGGTCACCGCGAGCATGGGCCTGTTCACGTCAAACAAGTCACAGTCGAGCGGGGCGGCGTCGGCGGACGCGGAGACGCAGCAGGTGGAGAAGATGATCGCGACGGAGGCGAAGAACGAGCAGCGAAACTTTGACCGGTCGCTGAAGGACGTCGCGAAGCTGGACAAGTCGCACGAGCGGTCGCTGAAGGTGCGTCGTGCGCCGAGCGGGTGCTGAGCGCTGATCGAATGCGGCGGGGGCAGGCGGCGGACTCGGCGCAGCACGCGCTGGACAAGGCGGTGAAGAACGAGTACGAGAGCGCGCGGGCGCTGAACGAGGCGGAGCACAAGCACGACAACGCGATGGCGTCGCAGCGGAGCGCGGCGAAGACGCTCGAGGTGCGTCGCGCGTTCGAGTCCTGCTCGTCGCGGCGGTGCTGATTTCCGCGGTGCAGCTGAAGGTGCAGCAGGAGGGCCGGCTGGGGGAGGACCTGCAGCAGCGCAGGGCGTCGCTCGACCGGCTCCAGCAGAGGAAGGCCTGCAATGACGTCAGTCTTTCCTCCTGCCTCTTTCGGGGTTCCTGACGTCCATCCTCCCCTCCCCAGGCCGTCCGCGAGTCGAAGCTCACCCAGATCCACCAGCACGCCTCCGACAGCGCCCTCGCCCGCGCGGGCTCGCTCGACGTCTCGCACGACATCGCCATGAGCCCAGTCGGTGTCGACGAGGTGCACGACGCCGCGCAGGGGGCGGGGACGGGCACGACGGGCGTGGATGCGAACGGGACGGCTGTCGGGGCGGGCGACGGGTAGTCGTATGTAGTATGTTGGCTGGATTGGAATGTGCTCCTGTACGGCTGCTGTGCCTGCCACAAGCCGTGGTGTAACGATACCCTCCCGTGGAATCCACTTGGTGACCATGTCGCTTCCGGTAGTACTAGTAGGCTCTGCGTCTACGTAGTACGTGCACGCTTGCTTTCTCCGCACAAGGAGTCGACCGCCTTGCCCGCCGCGGTCGTCAGTGGTCAGCCCCGCACGAGCCATCGCCGACTCTGTACGCACCTCCGAGTCTTCGCTGGGGGAGATAAGCTCTCCGGTCACAGGCGGCCTCTCGGAAGCCTGACTCACCATGGAGCCCTCTGCAGGCGCAGACGGACGCTAGCTTCGCCTCTCCCGCTACCGTTCAAGTTCTGCTGCTGTCCTCGAACCCGCCTCACGACCCGCCGAGCCACCTAAACCCCTTGGGCACGCACCCGCCTCACGCACGTCGGACCCGAGACGATGCGTCCGAACGCCGCGGCGGAGAACGTGCTCGGACGATGGGCACGATATGCTGGACGGTCCAGCTCACCCCGCAGATCTGGAAGAGCTGGCGCACAAAGTCGACGGAGGGCCTCTCGCCGTGGTTGTGTGAGTAGTCCCATCCCCCCTCCTCCCATCCCCACCCGCGCTGACCGGCCCTCCTCCCCCCCCGCGGACACCCCCTGGCGGACGACAGGTTTTGTGGGGCCCGCCGCGGGGTTCATGGGCGTCTACGCGATCGTGCAGGACCTCAACGTCCCGCTCATCGTGCAGCCGCAGCTCTTCGGCGCGCTCTGCCTCGCGTCGTGGGCGCAGTGCCAGTACTACGGCGCGCCGCGGCGCCCGCGCGCGGTCTGTGTGGCGCTGTACGGCGCGGCACTCGCGGGGCTGGCGGGGTTCCAGGGCGGGATGGTGTATGCGGTGCGGGTGAGTGGCCAGTAGTTGGGGTGTGCGGGTGGGCTGAAGATGTGGTTGGTGGGCTGGGTGTTGTAGCCGGCGTATGAGAGGGGGGACGGCGCGCGGTCGAGGCGTTTGGGATCATCTCGTCGGTCGTACTCTCGCTTGCGCTCTTGTACGTCCCTCTCTGCCCCTCCTTCATGCGCCTCGACTGACCACGCCGGCTTTCCTTCTGTCCACCCCCTTCTACGCGCGCAACCCACGCTCCCTCACCCGGCCCCCAGCCCGCAGTACTACGAGATCTACGTGCACCGCGAGGTCGTCGGGCTCTCCGTGCCGTTCATGGCCGTCGACATGCTCGGCGGCGTCCTGAGCGACCTCTCGCTCGCGTGGCGGCCCCCGCCGTTCGCCGCGGTCGCCGCGCTCAGCTACTCGCTCGTCGTCGTACGTCGTCTCCCCCCTCTCTCCTCTCCCGTCCCGCCAAATGCGCCCGCGCGTGCACTCCTCAGTGCGTCCGACGGCGCGCGAAGACCGCGCGTCGGTTCCGGGTGTCGCGCTCGCGCGGGTGGATGCTGTGCCCTCTTGTGTTCCATGTGCTGATCTGGGTTTGTATGCAGCTCTTCGACGGCCTCGTGCTCCTCGCCGCGGCGGTCCTCAACCCGCTCGCCAGGCGCCGCCGCAAGCGGGCCGAGGCTGCCGCGTCCGTCGAGGCGCAGGACGGGCGCGGCGACGTCGACGGCCGGACTCGCGCTCGGGCTGATGACGCACGCGGAGATGCAGATTCGGGGTTGATGGCTAGTGACTAGCAGAGGCTCGGTGCGCTCGCATGCTGTGCGGGATGTACTGGAGGCGGCGGACGGGGACGCGGAGACGCCGCGATGATGCAGGGGATGAATCCGGTGGAGAGTGTGCGGAACGGGCTCGAGGGGGTGGTGTAGAGCTGAGACAGGCCGCGGTTGGGGAAGACAGAAAGGTACGGTTGAGTCTGATCATGGCACGGTCGACGTCGTATCGCATACTAGTACTCACGATGCATGGCTGATCTAGTCGCCAGGCCTGATCTATTTCGCCCGCTCGGGTACGAATCCGATGTATGAATGTATGGGTTGGGTGCGTACTGGACTGCGTAAAGCGTACGATACTCTGGAAGCTGAACGTTGCACAGTCGTCCGCGCGAAGGATATAGATACTCCCGACCCATGACGCTGTGCTACGCGTGTACGTGTGATACGAACGGGTCGCAAGCACAAACGCCGCCTACGATGGCACGGGGATCAGCCTAGCCGTTAGGCGACTAGTTCGTCTTTTGAGCTATGCAATAGCATGCGCACCCACAACTTGAACACTCCTCGTTGGCGGCAACTCTCCACCCAAATACAGCAATGACACGCATCCATCACATGAATAGCCCGCAATACTTGCGAGATATAGACGGTGTGGACCACGAACCGGAGGCGATCTGGGATCTCCGTGCCGTTCATACTCGGTGGTGTCCTGGGCGACCTCTCGCTCGCGTGCAAGCCCCTGCCATTCAACGCTGTCGGTACTCGGCTACCCGTTCGTCGAGTTTCCTGTGTTCTCCCCCCTGTCCTGCGTTCTGATAATTCCTTCCGTTCTTGGCGCCCTTACTCATCTCTTGTGCAATTGCATTGTTCTTCGACGGCCTCGCCCTCCTAGCTGCTGCGATCCTCAATCCTCTCTCCAAGCTGGATGCGGGCTGATGTGACTCCTGTCGATTCACAGCACGAGCGTGCCGACATTGAGAACCGTAATCAGGAAGGTATATTTCAAGTTGGGTCGTAACATAGGTCGCGAGCTAATGATATGGTACAGGCTCCAGAGTCGGTCCTACTGCAAGGTGTAGCAGCATCCATTCGTCGGCATCGTGACTTCGCATACTTGAGAAGCGATGGCGCAGACTAGCCGCTGACTTCTCTCAGTGAGCAGACTCATGGCGAAGACGAGACCAGTACGGTCGATCACTGCTCGCACCACGCTGAGAAAGTCCGAGCAGGGGAAATCCCACTGGCATCTATATACCGGGCGTACAAACAACAGAACATGGAGGTATGGCTATTTCGTCGCTCTGATCACCGGTGCTAATGAGGACTGTTGTATCTGGCAGTTACCGGAAGGCACCGAAGCAGCAAGGTACGTCTCCCTATGCCATTCACAGTGCTCACTGAAAGCTCACTTGCGAAGCCATTTTATTCTGGGCCGAGCGAGCCAGTTTTCCGAGCTACAGGTGCAGCGATACCGCGGCCCCGAACCCATCAGTACATAGACATCTTCCGCCATCTAACTGCCAGCCCGACGAACTCATGCTCCTCGCTGCCGTTTCTGTCGTGCTATCTCAGGACGAGCGGAGATGTGGTCGACTAGAGGAGAAGCTCGGTGCGCTCGGATACAATACACCTTGCACTCGAGGATGCGGAAAAGGATGCGGGGAAGGGATGGGTAGGCCGATATTCCGTGAAATGAAGATCATAGAGGTATCGTCCATTTGTCACATCATAAGCCAATGCGTAAAGCTGATCTGCGGCACAGACAAAAACTGTTACTATCATATAGATGGATTATGTCATTAATGGATGAGCGGGATCGGACTCCGTCCGATGTGTGTGCCAGTCTAGCCGGGTATTTGGGCATAGCTCCAGAGAAGAGACTCAGAGAGTCGTCGACGTATGTCAGGTGAGTAAGGCTCTCTCCGTCGCACGCTTCCCAGTGTTTTGGCGGCGAAGGCGTCCGACGACGTGGACGGGCTGCCCACGATGGTGTAATGACCGGCAAATTAGCTGGGCCGCGCAGTGGGGCACGCTGCTTCCAGTCCGAGGCTCACTTTGATCATCTCCTGTTTCATTCTGTCTTGCCCGCATATACGAGCTGTGCAGGTAGGTCATGCACAGCAGCTTTGAAAGATTAGTCATGATGCTGACTTTCTTTTTCTTCGCCGAAGATGACAATGTCTATTGCCTTAGGCGAGCCTCGAATGTAGGCCCTGGTTAGCGTCCAATGCTGAATAGACTGTCCGCGGCAACAGACATCACCTCTCATACGGTTAGCGGGTCCGCCAAGCTCGGACGGATGCTCTGCTACACGCGGCACAGGAATGGACGAAACGGGATGATTTCGCAATCAAGCCGGTATATCTTCTCTCCTACGAGTATCTACATCAGTATTCGTGCTGACTTGCTGTACAAGATTGTATAACAAGTCAAACTATGCACCGGAACTAGTGCCTCTCCGTGGAGACGCAAGTGGGCACGATATATGCCGTTCTGGCACGGTACCCGGGTTATGCGTGCGGACCCAGACCTAGCCTTTCGGTCTCGTAGACAAGGTCCTCTTGGAACTCGGCGCGTCAACTTGAAGACAGGACCTAATTGAATCGTGTCGAAAGGACACCGAGCGGCCGACAGTATCTTTATGTGCACACAGCGGTTGTGCTCACTCGTCATTCAACTCCAGCCCTTCCACTTTGCTCCAGTACTACAAAGCCAGGCTCTCATGCATTGACAACTACGCGTTCCCATACACCCGTCATCTCTCGTCGCATCCTCTCGCATCCTCAGCCCCACCCTCCCAAACTGGGCCTAATAATTCCCAACGTTGATCGACTTAGTGCCCGGGGTGTAGCAATACCCGTTATCCAGGTGCGTCCCGCAGGTCGAGAGCTGGTTGCAGCTACCTCCGCATCTAAAGGCATCTATCAGTAACTCTTGCGTTCTCTGGGCCGTCTATCCGCGCACGTACCCGCCCTTGTCGCAGAACCCGACGTTGTTCGTGGCTGCGAGGCACTGCGTGTCCGGGGCGTTGAGGCACTTGGCCGAGCCGTTGTACACGGTGCACGAGCCGCCGCAGACGTTCTGAGTGCGGCGGTTGCAGTACGTGACCATCGTGTTGTCCGCGGCGCGCGAGGTAAGACCTTCGGGCGCATTGACACCTGGGATAGGGTCGCCGATAAGGTGAGCTCGGCGTCGGTCGTCTTGAGCCAGGCGATCATCTCTTCCTGAGTGAAGAGCTGGGTGGTGACCTCCGGCTGTGTGCGGGATGTCAGCACTACTGGCGGGGATGGATGGGGTTATACTGACCGACGGAACTGCAGCGACAACCGCGACGAGGGCGGCGAAGGTGGCGAAGGCGAGCTTGAACTGCATCGTAGGAGGTTGCTGAGACTTAGTTCTTGTTGGTGAGGATCTACTTTCGCGACATGCTGCAGCTTATATACCCCAGACAACCTCCCGACGACGCTTTTAGACTGACCATGTTCCGTTTGTCAAGGAGGTCATTGTCTGGTCCTCTGGTGGCAAGTCACCAATCGATGACATTGGGCCTGCTGTGGCGGCAGTGGTCCAGAGTCGCTCTCCAGCGCTCTCCCAGCCTCCGGCCCGTGGCGCCCAAACTTTACAAATTCAAGGATCACTTCGAAGGCTATCAAAACAAGCGTAATTGGACAGGTTAAATTGAACTGGACTGGAAGTCGAGGACAGTCGTTAAGTTCGCAACGTAATGTGGTCTTGTTTGCAGACTCAATGCGATGCTCTACAATAATTTAACGTTCGAAACGCGAATGACTTGACACGGTCGGTGTACTAATGGCAAGTGCAAGATGATCAACCCCGTACCGAACGGGTCCAAATGCCAGTAGCCGCATCACAATCCGAGTCGTGCGTTCATCAAGTCGACACTCGTTACCGCATCATAGGCCGCACAATCGCACGCCGTCATCCACAGCATCCCGTCAGCCGCTTGCAGTGTGACCACGTCAAAGCGAGACTGCTGATTGTGCCACATGACCTGGTACCGAGCCATTCTCTCGGGGGCGTTTTGCATATTCCACCATCTCGAATGCTTCGAGTACGAATGCGGCGTCGATATCATTCATCAGGCTAGTGTTCACCTCGATGTCCTTCAAGTTGCCGCGAGGTTGCCGCCGCGCCGCGGCTTCGACGCCCTTGACACAGGTATAGAACACTGTGCCGATGGTCATGACAAGAATAGAGGCGGGACGAATCACGCGGTTTTTGACAAGCAGTGAAGGTCAGCCATGGTCACACCCGACGCCGCCGGGAAAATGAACTCCATCTCGCGGAGCCACGGTACGTCCCTCTCTACACACACGCTGCATTGTAGTTACACGCGAAATCCACCATTGGCATCCCTGCGTGAAACTCGCCCGCCGTCCGCACAACCTCAGTTACGCTTTCTGGGTGGCGACTAGCTGCGGCGCTTGTAGAGCTCGCTACCCCATCCAGCCTGAGTGTCAGAAGGACAGAATCTAAAGCACCGTAGGTGCGCGTGATCAGCTTACAGGAATCAGGTCTACAGCACAGACTCGTTAACGGACGTACGACATACAAATTGGCTCGCGACATCACGGTGTCAGAGGATACGTTGAGCGGGTGGGCGAGAGGCAGAGTGAATAGCCTCCATAAATAGCCTCCACTGTCACATATGCATGTCTTTTGGCACAGGAATTCTCGATGGCGGCGACGACTGGGAAGCCAAACATCACAATCACAGGCTAGAAGCAAGGCCATTAGCGCTTTCGAAACTCATTTAGAGTTCTCCTGCATATTTCGATACAAAGCAGGGTGTTTCGGAGGGAATATATGCATGAAAAAAGGTATGATGCTGGTCGGCGCATGACAACGTCGGTGTCCTCGACGACGCAGTGCGCCGGTAGCTTCCACTGAAGGAGGCCGAACGGAAAGCGGACGTACACTGCTAACCTCGTTCGTTCGCCGGACCACCCGCTCCAGACGCACAGCAATGATTTGACGACTGAACAGGCGGCCTGCAGGGTCTGAGTATCAGCGTTCAACCTTTCGACATTCAGTGATGGGCAAAAGAACAGCAGAAATGCCTCAGAGCCGAGACAGCGGGCGCGAGCAGACCACAAGACAAACATAGTCCGAGATGCACATTAGTACGCTGGAGGACATGCGTGATTGGGTTTGTCACCTTGACGCTAAGCAGTCCAGCTATGTACGCAGAGCAGTGAGCCGAATATGCCAATCACAGGGTGACCCAAACCAACCGTGTTGATCGCATGCGGGAGCGATATTCTGATGAACACCCAGGGTGGTCATCCAGTGCGTCAGAAGAATGTGACAGTTTCTACAGCATGAAGGCGGGACACGATCAGTTTAGAGGATTCAGGGTATCTATGAATCCGCTCACCGGACGTCAGTGTCAGCGAAGACGTTCGAGAGGGTGCGTGCGCAAGCCATATGGCGGGGCATCATCTGGTTACGCACTGGATAACGACGGGGGAGGTCGAGCAGAGCATGGAAGCTTGTTCGAACGGGACCGGCATCTTCTGCGAAAAACGCGGACATGTTCGTGAGGACAAAGAGTCGCCCACCGAGCCCATAGACAGCATCCATTGTGCTTCACACGTCTTCTGACACAGACACGATTCTTGATGACGGCGAAGACTGCAAAACCAACATCACAGTTAATTCTAGGAGCAAAACCATTAGCGCTTCGAAACTCACCTACTACAGGTTCTCCTGCATATGGCAACACAAAGCAGCGAATTGGTCAAACGTGAAGGGGGTATAATGCTAATTCGGCGCCATTGAAGAATAGGTATGACGAGGATGCGGTGCCCGGATCTCAAAGTGAGATGGTAGCGTAAGATGTCAATAGAGAGGACTGTCCCGACAAAAGTCGGACCCGCGGCCGCGGCAATCGGGGTAGTGACCAAGTGATCGCTACAAGCTGGACCCCGAAACATGCACTACCCTGGCTTTGAATTCTCTGCGTGCGGCAGACCGAGCTAGTACGGCGATTCAGGGATACGAGATCCACGTGTGTTGTGCGGAATGCCTTCAAGTTCAGCCGCTCTTTCACAAACATGGCTTCAAGAACTTGTTACACGTACATGCATGTGTCTCAGATAGACAGCCTGGGCATATCCGATGCAAGATGGAACATCGACAGCAAAATCGGACAACACGCCTGAACGTGTCAGCTCGCATACCTGGATGCAGTTAATGAGCGATAGAATCAGTAAATTCCCCCGTGTGAGTACACATATCTTACCGTTCAGCTGGGCTTGGTGGCTAGGCATTAATAATCGGGGCAGGTGGGGGTATCCACGGGGCATGACCCCTAGTAGAGCATCAGCGAGCATACCAAGCTCGGCATTCAGACGTTTCGACCGATACTTAGTACTTGAATACACTGCGATAAACTCTTCGTGTTCAAGTTGCCCTCGCAGTTTGCATGTACCTTTTTTAACGTGCAGAGGGATACTCAGCATCGTCTGCAAAGCGGAAGAGGTAAGTTACCATTGAACGCGTTGAAGTGAACAACAAACCCAAAACAAACCGCACGCAGTGGGAAGCGTGCGCAGTAGGAGAGCGACCACTTGGTCTACCGAAGAGCACAGGTATAATTGATGCAGACGGTGTCAGAAGGTTCTCAAGCCTAAGGGCCAGCGCGTCGAGGTCACGAGGCCGCGCTCAATGCTGCAGCATTCAAGTTGCTGTTCCCTCGAGAGTCGACTCAACACCAACCGTGCTAGTACTATGACCTACTCTACCTTCGTCGGACCTGCTTTGGTAGTGACGCATTAACAGAACCGCCGCCGGGACAGCTGGCAGTACTACCAGGCGGCCTGCAGCTGAGGTAGTGCAAGGCGACCATTGTCCGCAGTCATTCACGGGCTTCTTCCTGTCGACCCTTGTGTTGTCTCTACTTCGTGGCTCTCCGGACAATGCACGATGCAGTTTTCAGGCGAAAAATACCATGCACATTCTGAATAACACCATGCATGCCCAGGACCGGTCGACATGATGGGCCAGAATATGGACACAGAGCGACGAGGAGGGCCGCAGAGTATTCGCGAAGAGACTCGGAGAGCGGGACAAAGAGTTAAGCAATCACGGTCAGAGAAAATGTGTGGAAGTCACCGAGACACGTGTATGAAGGTATGCCGCACTATCCCCTCATAGTGTTCACTAAAATTGAAGCTCACTTCAAGCCGGCTCGAAAGGAAGTCCTGGTCCGACTGAGCCAGCTATGCGCACTGCAGGTACAGCAATGCCGCGGTATTGACCAGTTATTACGTCGTTATCTTTCGCCCATGCATCCCGCTGCTGACAGTCGGCCGCTAGCTTGCGTTGACAACGTCATGACCGGTGAGTTGGTCTCTCAGCGCACATCAGTGCCGCCTGTTGCGACGCTGACGCTGTCCATTGGCAATTCGTTCTTCCAGTCGTGTATCCGGTGTCCCATGGCTATGAAGGAAAATATGCGGGGGTAGGCCACGTCGTCATTTTCTGTCCACGCACCCCGAACGTAGAGTGTTGGCTCTGCCGAGCACCCGAAGTCAAGAATCCGACTGCATTCCCATTAGCATCAGGGCCGACTTCGTGCCCGCTAGTTGGAGGTACAGGCGGACGTGTACGGGAGCTCGCCGCACGGACCGTGAGTTCTCTCCGCACTACTCTGTCTGCCCTATCTCATACAATCTCATAGGCTATCTTCTACAATGAGTGCACGTCCAATTTCAATGCGAACCTTCTGACGACAGGCGAGCGCTTTGGAACCCATCTGCGAAAGGGTTGTTAACGGGCGGCTTAGCTGTTGACGTTCGCGTGCCATTGGGTACCGTTTATATGCCGAGAACCGCATACAACCCGGAGAAAGTTGCTGATGGCTCCGTCCATTTGTCGAACCACGAGGTGACGGCTAGGTCGCTGAAGACGTCGAGTCCACCTCGCACTCGCTCGGTATGTGTTGAGGCGTTGTCACTACGTTTAGAAATGAACGAACGAACATTGCTCTAGATAACTGCATGACCCTACGTCGCAGAATCTTTCGCGTCCAAGGCGTGGCACGGAGAACTCGACTAAGCCGGTGTGTGTATTCACCTGGTGAGTGCACCTTTCGCGTTCGGTTTACGAGAGATAGTCAGGAATGCTCGAGAACTGACGGTGGGTTCCGAGTATGAGCGATGCCAGCTTGAGAGTGAACACGCCTACGAGCCCTGCAACCTGTACGAACAGTGTCCGTATGCCATATTCACTTCAAGTTATGAACAGCCTGTGCAATACACGAGCTGAACCGTCTTAGCTGGTGGATAGCGCGAAGCGAACAGGGAGAAATTGGGCTATCCAAGCTGTACGCAGGGGTTAAATATCACTGCAATCATTGTCGTTGTCTTCAGCCCCCACGCCTTCGTGGATATCATGCCTTGAAGTCTTGTACACAACACCCTTGTGAAGTAAATTCTCCTTGGAGCACGACTTCGCTGCACCACTCAGCGAACAAGGTGATCTTGTGCTCACCTCCGAATCCACTACCCTCCCACCCGGCACCTTATTCCATCAAGTTCCTGCCCCGAAGATCATGATGCATCTTCAACAACGCAGTAGGCGTATTACGTCAGCTGCTGTGGCGAACGGTGGCGGGAACGCAAATAGATCCCATGACTTGTAGTACCGATTTCACGCACCGTGGCACACGTCGAAGGAACTTGAACCTCAACTACCAGTTGTCTCGCGCTGGACACTTTCTGACCCAGTCTATCGCTTCCCGTAGCTTGAGTCGCTTGGAAGTTAGCATGTCGACTGATGGTGCAAGTCGCGGCGCGGACTCAGTGGTGGCGAATGTGCAAGCTGTAGTAAATGAATTGGCAATGCTAAAGACGAGGTATGTATCTGAATGTCTATGAGCCTGTTCAGAATGCTAAACTATATTTTGCTGAGTCTAGTTACGCTAATCTTCAGAGTAGCTACCGCAAAGCGAAGGAAAGGAATGATGTGCTCGAAGGGGAGAACGCAAGACTTCAGCGAGAACTGGACGTCACGCGTCAAACCTTTCAAGTGACTGCAGTGAAGATAGAGGATGCAGCGCAGAGTGCTCGGGCAGCCGGGGTATCCGTGAGTCTGTGCGTCAGTCGCTCGGTGAAGTACACATTAAATGACTTGACGCAGAAGTCTTACATGGAAATCAAAGAGGAGCTGAACGATGTCTTGCACCAGAGAACAGTTGACAGGCTTGAGCATGTGAGTAGCTCCATGTGTTATTGACGTGTCTTCAATGATACACGAATAACTTTCGTAGGAGTCTGCAATAGATGCTCTGAGTGCACAACTCGAAAACGTAAAGGCGAAGCACAGCCTGGCGACGGCAAAGCAGCTTTCGGCTGTAGGCGCTTCAACGTCTAGATCTTTCCCCGCCGCGAGCGCACTGCCCAGTATTCATCGGACCAAGCTCACGAAATGCGCCACTCTAAGCGACGAGAGCACGCAGGCTGCTAATTCTTCCTCCGACTCCGAGCCCATCTCTAGTCTTGTGAGTTCCGCAAAGGTGAACCAGAACCGTGGTACCAGCTCGGCCCGGATTCACAGCAGGGCATACTCTGTGAGTACTGATTTGCTCAAGTCTCACCGCATTGCGATAACTAGTCGTGTGATAGTCCATCTTGACACTGCGCACGATTCAGGAACAAATGAACTTGAATCGCCAGAATGAACTACGTAACGAACCGTCTTCCTCCGGCATCGAAAAAAGATGCAATCCTATCATACGACAGCGCAAACGCTCGCTAGCTGACGAGCACACCGAAAGTCGGAAGAAGCTGAAGCAATCCTGAGCACACAAAGGTAGTGCTGATGATAAATGGCCCGTTGGGTTCTCATTTTGAAAGTCTACAGAGGGCGCGCTCATCCGTGCAATGTCATCATGCAACACTGTCTAGCCTACTGCCGCGTATCTCTCAGCGCTATGTCGTCGCTATCGTGCTATGGTATCCAATCATGTTGTGTACTGTCCCATCGAGGTCAATGAGGGCGATTGATCAGTGCAGCGATGGATTTGACTCTATGAACGTATTACTCCGAGTCGATGCAAAGCACTGTCTCGATGCCTCACCAAGGCTGCGTCAGACAGCGTAGAGTCGCATACAGGCGAGCAACTGGGTGATGGCTGACAAGACGCATAACATTTCTCACAACCACATGGATCTCTACAGTATCAAGGGGATACGGATGAGTGGAGGATCGTATCCGCGAGGCTTTATGTGCACTCGCGCGTCCTCTGTCAGGGCTCACAGTGTCCAGGGAGGAAGATGCGAGTGTGTCCTGTGCGGCCGTGGCGCGTGTAAGTTTCCCCTAACTCGACGCAGACTGCTGACTTGGCCTATTAACAATCCACCGGTCCATCGAGTCCTATGATCATAAGTGCTCAGCAAGGATGTCCATCAGTGACCAAAATACATCGCTCACCGATGACAGTCGCAGACGGAATCGGGTTGCTTCATGGGAGCTTCGCTGCCTCTCATACGCGCGAATCCGACGGTAGCGCAGAGGGGGTTAACGACTACAAGTTCAAACGGCAAACACCGCGTGAGATGCGGCCGCGTCTAGATGGGGTGGTTTCGATCGCAGACGATCAAGGTTCGAAACCTATGAGACGACCTGACAGGATAGGCAAGTTGGTCCGATGCCACAGTCGAGGAGGCACACACCTACCGTGTTGTTGCCGTATGATTTCCTTCCTAGTGCGTCTTCTACAACGAATACTTCAATTGCGCTTGCGTGCTCATCCTCACCTGCAGCCGTCACGTCGGGTCTGTCATAGCTCGGCCGAGGTCGTACAGCACACAGCTCTAAGAACAGAAAAGCAGAGCGTCAGAGGCTATCAGAACACGCATGTGTGCGCGAGCTTCATAGTTGTATGCAGATTTTACGGCGACATGACGACGCTCGCCGGCCACCTGCTTCGTATTCCATTCCAGATGAGTTAATGGTTCGCTAGAGCCCCGAAATATCTAACTCACCTCCGAGGCCACTACCCTCCCGCCGGCACCCAATCCACGTCCATAGATGCAACGTACAGGAAGGCGCAAAGCGCTACTTCCGCTGGTTCACTCAGCCTACTTATGACATCTGGGTCAGTCGAAGTCCTACAGGCTGGTACGAGGCACCGCCGGCGTGCACTATGCTAACGATCGCGTGGAGGTTTAAACGTTTACTCACCAGATTCAATGGACACGCAGCAGTCTCCGTGCGACAATCGTCGAGTCTACGGGGCGAGAGACATAATGCGGCAGACAGTCGACATAACTAAGCATGATTACGTAAGTACCGTAGCGCTGGCCACGCCTGCCTGGCCGTACTGAACAAGTACTGAAGTACTGAAGCACTTGCTCCCACTAGAGAGTTTTGGAAACAACTGTTGAAGTTGAATTGAACGGTGGAGGTGGAGCTGAGGTCTGGTGGTGGTGGGGCTCCGTGGGGCTGGTCGAGAGTGTGACGCCGAGTGACGGGCCGTGACACTCCTACTATTCATGGCAATTCGCTCACGGACGACGCTCGGGAGGGCGGGCTGGCCGGTAACGCCCGTGTCACGCCCACCGCAGATCTGACAGAGATCGGTGGTGTCGGAGCTGTGGTCTGGTGGTGGCGTGAACTTTCACAGTTGCTGCCAAAACTCTCTACTGACACGACTTGACGCGGACGACTGGCTTCGTCGCGACACCCGGAGCATCCCACTGTCTCTAATGTCTGTACTGACGAGTCCCTTGAGGGTTTCTGAGCCAAGTTGCCAGCCCTTTCCCGGCAATACCGCAAGTCCGAATCGTGAGATCACTCAGAGTCGCCCGTCCACATGCGTGCCCGAAACACTGCGTAGGATCGCTCGACTTATCATCTTGGACCCGAGGGCACTCCGGCAGTAGTCATCTTCGGGGATTGGTGGGGACATCGTCGTACAAGAGGACCAGGGCATCCGGGTTGGCCGTACGTTGCCTCTCTTGACACTTTGCATCTACTGGGAGTGAGACATGGACATCGAAGCGTGCGTGCACACTTGATCAGATCGCTTCATATCGTACTGAGCCGTGTCTCCACTAGGTTCCGCAAAGCTGGCTACCAAGCGATCGACAGGATCTGCGACTTCTACTATTCGCTCCAGGACCGCCCAGTGGTGCCCCCTGTCCAGCCGGGCTATCTTCTCAAGCAGCTTCCGGGTGAGTACGACTTCTGTCTCGCGGGGCCAATCCACCTATTGCGTTCGCGTAGATTCACCACCAGAAGATGGCGAGGATTGGAACATCATCGCAGACGACTATCAGAAGCTCATACTTCCAGGTATGCATGTCGCGCTCTCGTCTTGACGTCCTTTTCAATGCAGACGCCTAGGTCTGACGTTCTGGCAACACCCGAATTTCTACGCGTACTTCCCGACGGCATGTACATTCGAGGGATGCTCGGCGACCTGTACTCGACCAGTACGGCGAATCCTGGGTTCAACGTACGTCCACATTTGCGGCACACCTCGCGCTCGAAGTTCTCAAACGGTCGGTGATAGTGGACGAGCAGCCCCGCATGCACCGAACTCGAGATGGCCATGATGGACTGGTGCGCGAGACTCTTCGGGCTCGCGGACCACTTCCTCAACAGTTCCGGCACCGGCGGTGGCGTGATCCAGGTAAGGCCTGGACCCATGCGTCCACCGTCACCTTTACTCACCGACCATTCATTCAGACGACCTCATCTGACTCCGCGCTCGTCGTGACCGTCGCGGCGCGCTCCCAATACACGCGCCGACACCCGGACACAAAGCTCGAGGACCTCGTCTTGTACGTGACGAGCCAGACACACTCGCTCGGCGTGAAGGCGAGCCTCGTCCTCGGGCTGCAGTGCCGCGTCCTGGACGTCAAGCCGGAGGACGAGTACGCGCTGCGGGGCGAGACGCTCCGCGCGGCGCTCGAGGAGGACGTCGCGCGGGGAAGCGTCCGTTCTTCCTGAGTGAGTCGGCCTTGCTTACTAGTACGCGTGCGGGCTGTTCTGAGGGTGCGTGGTAGTCGGCACGGTCGGGACGACCTCGTCGGGCGCGATCGATCGTCTGGACGAGATCGGCGAAGTCCGTGAGTGTGGCTCGTTTGCTGGGATGGTCGGTCGTTCACGCGGGCACAGTGAAGGACTACCCCGACGTCTGGTTCCACGTCGATGCCGCCTGGGCTGGCGTGACTCTCGCATGTCCCGAGTATCGCGACGTCTCGCGTTTGAAGGATATCAACACGTACGCGACGTCCGTAGGCACGAATCTACACAAGGTGGGCGCATATATGCTGCCCTGTTGCCTTCTGCACTGCTTACGCGCAGCGATAGTGGGGCCTGGTCAACTTCGACGCAGCCCTTCTCTGGGTCAGGAGCCGAAAAGACCTCACGGACGCGCTCGACGTGACGCCCGAGTTCCTGCGCACCAAGCAGAGCGAGGCCGGTACGTCCCAAGCGCCTCTCAAACGCGTTTGACAGTGCTCAATGCCCAGCAGGCGCGGTCATCGACTACCGCAACTGGCACCTCGGGCTCGGGCGGCGCTTCCGGTCGCTCAAGGTCTGGTTCGTCCTCCGGAGCTACGGCGTGAAGGGCTTCCAAGCGTACATCCGACGGGTGCGTCCTCCGCCTCCGCTCCTCTCCGCCCCGCGCGAATGCTGACCTCCGCAGTGCATCGACCTCAACGGGTACTTCGCCTCGCTCGTGGAGACCTCGCCCTCCTTCGCGCTCGTGACCAAGCCGTCCTTCGCGCTGACCGTCTTCCGCGTCGCAGACCCCGGCGCGCGCGGCCTCACCCCGCCGCTCGGCGCGGACGCGCTGAACGACCTGAACCGCGCGTTCTACGCGCGGGTGAGCGCGCGCGGCGAGATCTTCCTGACGCAGGCACAGCTGAACGGGACGTTCTGCGTGCGGCTCGCGGTTGGCGCGGAGCGCACGAGGAGGGAGCATATTGACCGGGCGTGGGCGCTGATCCAGGAGGAGGCGGGTGTTGCGGTGGAGGAGTGGGCTGGGAAGATCGGTAACGTCGGTGGTGAGAAGCAGGTAGGCTGAGGCTATTCGAGTCAGTACTTGATTACATGGTCTTTTCTGTACGTTGTCGCAGCGGACTGCGGGGCTTTATGAACGAACGGCCCGTGCTGTACATCCCAGTCGAAAACTCGACTTTGTCGGCGATGGGATTGGGGTCACTCGCGTCCTTTGTGTACGCCAGAACCAATGCGCATGATGGTGCCATAGCAATGTAGCATTTGTACTACATCACATGTACGCGCTGACCGGCGATCTATGGTACATTGGATGGGATACAGCAGCTCGACAGCAAAATCGATAGCATGAATGCACAAAACAGACAGCGAACAAAGTATGAAGATGGTGTTGGACGAGGAGGCGAGATAGTGGACAGCCAAGATAAAGCAGACGACAGTATTCTGTATGGGCTATGGAACAATGCTAGTGGTCGGACGACCGCTGCATGTAAAGAGGGCAAGCCTCTGTAGAGTTTGCGTTAGCTATCCACCAAGCCACATATCTAGAGCACATGCCTTTATGTATGTATGGAAGATTATTTTCGCTTCTTCTGGCTTTGACTGTGCTTTTCACCCGACTTGCGCTTGAGTGCGGACTTCTGGCTACGCGCTACTAACGCTCGCTCAATGCGGACATCGTAATCGACCCTCTCTAGTCCACAGCAGCCAACGAAGAATTCCTCCTCACGGAGTACACGCTCTCGAAAGTGTTTAGCAACTGGATGGTCAGGGTCACGGTAGATGGAGGTCCCCGACATCATGCCCACGACGACATCGGGCTGCTTCCAAGTTAGTACTTGCTAACGAGGGATGATCAAGACTGATAAATCAGTCACGCTCACCGATGTCTCCAGGAGTAAACCACAGAATTCTCCATAGTACATGCACGACACGCCCACACATCTGTAGGCACCACAATAACTCCACATGCCATCATCTAAGCTGAGAAATGATTCGCGGACATCGCCGACTCGGAAAGTCTCAACGGCCCCGGAGTCGACTCTTTTGAGGAGGGCATTATACAGCTGACGGGGAAAGAAATACAAGCATTTGTCAACAGAAGGACACCAGATGCTGGATGCCTTGTCAAAGTGCAACGGATCATGGTCGATGAAATCACTTTCTCCGATGTCAGCGAAGTGAATCGAGGATGCGTATTGTATGACATACGGGATTTTATGTTTCGAAAACGGCTATGCGCGCGAGAGTGAAACTTCAGTACAATTCTCGGGTCACTGGGCAAAAATGAGGACTGACACCGGTGAAGATAGTATTCGTGCTTTCGGTCAGATCTTCTAGCAGTGTGTCTTGGTCGTCACGTAGCACTTCCCTTTCAAGAAATCGTTTCGGATCAAATGCGTGCTTATTGGCAGGCTGCTGGTGAGTGGCCGGTTATCGCGGTTCGGCGAGAGACAATTGAAACGAGACTTACGGTAGCTCGCCTCCGGCTGCCATTGGGAACGACAGATGCACCAGCGGGAACAACGGATGCGCTAGCGGGAACGGTAGATGCACCAGTGGGAACAACGGCTGCACCAGCATCATTGTTCCGATTCACTCCCAAAGAACTGGGGCCCGGGTCAGAGACAGGGCCAAGCTCCTTGGTGGCGGACCCGTCCGGAATGATGGGCTCTCGGTACTCGGACTGAAGATGGGCTGATCAGGATTCCAAATGATGGGCATGAAGAGATTTTATCTGTCCATGCTTCACCTTCAATCCCGCGAGCTGCGCATTCAAGGATTGCAGTTTGTAGCTCTGCGTAGAACCATACATCCTGTTAGAAGCGTAACATCACAAATGGAGGCATACCGCCGGCTCACATGCTCAAGCCGTTCGGTCAATAGCTGGTGCGAAGCTTCATCAAGTTCGTCCTTGACTCTGTAGGAACGCTTCCGCATTATAGACGGGTCAGCTACAAGTTTCATGAGGACAATCATACCTTGTACGATCATCGCGGAGAACAGACACAACCTCATGTCTTGCTTGCCTAACCCGTAGACTTTCCCGTATATCGTTAAGCTTTCGCTGAAGGCGAGAATTCGCCCCCTCGAAGTGGGCTATCCTTGCCTGCACCGCATTGTAGCGCATCCTTATATCACCATGTTTAGCCTCGAGGTCGGAGCTCCGAGCCTCAGCGTGATGCGTTCGAGTGATCAAGTCTTGGTTTTCAGCTTCGGTTTCGGCGATTTTGCGTCCCAGCCTCTGCAACTCGCTCGTTAACGTGCGAATGACTTCGTTCGAGTTTCACTCACCTGTTCCAGTCTTTCGATCGTTACCTGATGCGACGCCTCGTTAACTTGAAGTTCTTGCTTAACTGTGCTGTACGACTTTCGCATTGATCTCAGCTACAAGCAATAGTACTACACAACATGCAGGAGTCAGAACACACCGATTCAGCCAGCAAAACCATCTGTTTCTTCTCCACCAGTTTTTCAGTGGTAAGCCGCAGACTTTCCACCGTGTCTAGTAGCTGCTTTTGAAGGCGGATGATCTCCCCTTCGGTCTTGTTGCTTGATGCCTTCAATTCATCATACTTTACTGCTAGGCCATCGCCTCTATCCTCTGCATCACGGGTCTTGGTTTTGAGTGACTCGTTTTCAGCTTCCAGAATGGCTACCTTGTCCCTTAACCTTTTCGACTCGCTTGCCAACACTCGGACGACCTCGTTCGAGAGTAGCATCAGGTCGGAGTTGCCATTGTCCTGGTTGTTCGACATCCGTCTCACTGAGGCAAACAAATACAGCAGAGTTTTCGGAGTGAGGTGAATGAAAGACAGAGAGATGAGTTTCTCGGGGGTCAGCTAACGTGCAGGTTCAAGTTGTTGCGCTAGATTCGACGACTCAGCACGGTCGTGATTGGACCGGTTATGGGAGTCTACGCGATCAAGTTCAGCTCTTGGACATCCCGCTCATCTTCCAGCCACCCGCACGTCCCTCTTTGCCCCTCCTCGTCGCTCGCCTCGACTGACCACACTGGCCCTCCGTTCTCTCCTACCTTCTATACTCGCAATCTACTCTCTCACCCGCAAATGGTACTCGTTCGCTCTTCTCAGCCCGCAGTACTACTACGAGATCTACGTGCACCGCGAAGTGATCGGGATCTCCGTTCCGTCCATGACAACCGACATGCTCGGCAACAATGTCAATACAGTTGCCGGTACTATGTAATGTAGACTAGGTGCATAGCCTGAGGACGTAGTGGATGAGAATAGACAGATTCTGTGCAACGAGTACCGCATTATGTACCGAATGAAATATGACCGGATGAGAACGCGTAGCGACGATAGCTAAGACACAACAAAGCGAAGCAGCGATAGATGTGGGCATATGATACACAGAGCGAAGTGATCAATTGTGGGTTCTGGCCAAGCGTCGGAGATGAGTCGTGCGAAGGTAGTAAGTCATGTCGAACATACCTTGGACTTCAAGCAAGTTTGCGTTTCTTCCTGCTTCCGTCGTCTTGATGCCGCGACGGACGTTTGCGTGTTTTTCCTTGAACATTTTGTTCGTATGCCTCTATGGTATTCACAATTTGGTGGTTCTCGCCGACCTTCTCCAGTTTGTAGCAAGCAATCCAGAGCCGTCCGTTCTTGTACATATCTTGTATTACCGCGAGCGTGCTGACCCGACTGCTACGCGCTGTTCTTTGAGCAATGGTATTGAGGACGCTGGACTGTATCGAGGTCAGAAATCGCAGTACGGACACTATCATTTCACCAACCCGACCCTTGATGAAGCCTTTCAAGTGTCTGTAAGACACGGTCGACTGTCCTGTGCATCGAAATGTGCCGCGATAGAACAATGAGTATCCAGTTATCTGGAAGAGGTCGCACACTTGATCTTCCTGGATCCGGTCGTCGTACATGATGTCCGTGGTAGCTCCGGAGTTTACATCATGGAGTTGAGAGGGCAATATAAGAAGACATCTGGTCGTCTCATTCGAGCAGATGATTTCGGGACTGAAGCATATCAAGCTATGATCCACGATCCTGTCAGGCAGTATCAGCTTACAGTTGAAGTTGACCAAGTTCAAGACGAACCCTGGCTGAGGGAGCACCTGCGTGCATGCATAAGTATCATGCGCAGGTACTAAGAACATGGAGATCAACCTTGCGGAGAGCTCTCAGCGCTCTTTGTCTCTTAAATTTAACAGGGAGTTCCACTCTTACTTGAGATTCTCGTACTCCGAACGCATTGACTGCTTCGTTGCCAAGGAAATGAGATAGGTTGAAACCGTCCACGTCTTGTAATTGCTGTTGAGCGAGACATCAGTCTCAGATGTGGAGACGAGAAAATGGACAGACGGTGAAGCTTTCGTCATCATCACTCTCCTCCGGTGCTGCGTCGGATCTTTCGTCGGATTCTCTATCAGACTCTTCGTCGGACCCCTCGTCAGACCCTTCGACGTCCGAGTCAGAAAGCGTTTTCTCTGCATCATTCATACGCTTTTCGACGATTGCCTTGTAGCGTGGGGGGCGAGCCTTCACTGGCGGCGCTCCCTCATCGTCGCTCGAAGATTGCGCAACCGAATCCGTGTCCGCGACATGCTGCCGAGCCAAAGTCAGATCCTGTCAACTAATCAGCACTTGTGGGCGGGGGACATGAGACGAATTTACTCGTTTTGCCTGCACTAGTTCCCTGGCCAGCTCTGCACACCTCCGATCTGACTCTGCAAATTTATCCTGGAGGCTCTTCACAATGTGACCCTGGTTCACAATGACGGTCATCGTTGAACCGTCTCAGAGCGCACGCATCCTTTACTCACATGTTCCCGCCTTTCCTCCTTCCTCTGACGCATTGACTCGTCTAGGGCCCTCTTTGCCTGCTCGTAAGGCTGATACATGGACCCCGTGTCAGTACTTAGCGACGCGGTTGACAGTGCAATGCTCTGACCGATCCTGCTGCCAGAATGCATGGTTCCGAATCCTCTTCCTTTACCTTCGTAGCTATTAATGCTCTGCGTGTGTCACCGAGTTCTTTCTGGAATCGCGCATTCTCTCCTTCCAGCTCGGTGTTTCTTCCCTCGAGATCAGTGTTCCTCGCCAAAACAGCGTTATGTCTGGCATCCAGATTACTGCTGCGAGCCACAAGGTCACTGTATCTGGCGTCGAGGTCGCCGTACTGAGCTTCCAAGTCACGGATCCTGGCTTCCGAATCGCGATGAGTAGCCCTCAGTCGTTTCAGTTCCTTTCCTAACGCCCGGACAATTTCGTTCGACAGGGCATCAGAGTCGGAGTCGTCCTGCTTGTCAGACATTGCCTGGCAATCCCTGGCTCGCGACTCTGCTAGGGATAGACGCGAACAGAACGTAACCCGAACGTTGTTTGGGGAATAGCCTAGATTTGGGCTCGACGACAAGACCAGGATGCAAGTATGTATGTACACTGTCAGACTGACAGTGACACTGTGACTGACCGACGGTTGGCGGCATCTTCCGAGTCCGTCGTGATCTACCGATCGCGATCTGCATCCGTCCACACCTGCAGACTCACCTTCTTTATTAGACGACCTCAGTTCCACACTCGTCGCTGTGCTCCCAACACTCGCGCCGTCCTAGGACACGAAGGTCGGGGAAATGGTGATAACGTCTGCATATCAAACCCGAGGATAAATACGCGCTGCAGGGTGAGACGCTCCGCGCGGCGCTGGAGGACGTCGCGCGGGGGAAGCGTCCGTATTTCTCGAGTGAGTCGGCCTTGCTTACACGTTTTGGCTGTTCTGAGGCTCTATTGTAGTCGGTATGGTTAGGATGACCTCGTCTGCCGCGACGGATCGTCTGGACGATATCAGCGACGTCTGTGAGTGTGGCTCGTTTGCTGGGATGTTCGGTCGTTTACACGGACGCAGTGAAGGACTACCCCGACGTCTGGTTACACGTCGATGCTGCATGGGCAGGCGTAACTCTCCCGCGTCTCGAGTACCGCAACGCGTCGCGCTTGAAGGATGGCAACAGATACGCAGCGACCGATCTTCACAAGTTAGGCGCATATATGCTGCTTGCCGCGCTGTACTCCGCTTATGCGCAGCGATAGTGGGGCATCGTGAACTTCGGTGCTGGGTCTGAAGCATGGACGTGCTTGACTTCGCACTCGAGTTCTACGCACCAAGCACAGCGAGGCAGGTATTGCATAAGCACATTTCAAACGAGTTCAACCATCATTAATGTCGAGCAGGCAGGTCATTTGCCATCGCAATTGGCACCGCGGGCCCCGCCTTGGCTCGCTGAGGGTGTGATTCGTCTTGCAGGGTTACGGCGCGAAAGGTTTCCAAGCTTACTTTCGACGGGTCAGTCCTCCGCCTCTCGTTCTCTCCGTTCCTCTCGGATTCTGACTTGGATTCTGACCTCCTATAGTACATCAGCTTGAACCAGTACTTCGCCTCCCCCGTCAAGACCTCCCCTTCCTCCGTGTCCGTGACTAAACCGTCTCTCGCGCTGACCGTCTCATGCGTCGTCACGGACCGCGTCGCTGGAACTCAACCCGCTGAACGACCTCAGCGCCGCGTGGCGAGATCTTCCTGACGCAGACGCATTGAACGGGACGTTCTGCATGCAGCGCGCGGTCGGCGCGGAGCAGACGGGGAGGGAGCGTGTTGAACGGGCATGAGCGGTGGTACAAGCGCGGGCTGCGGCGGAGGAGTGGGTTGAGAAGATCGGTGACACCGGCGTGAGCTGCGGAGCTTCTCAGTTGGAGGCTTAACTCTGTCCGCGATGGGCAAGCCATGTATACATGTAATCCAGTGAGTCGTGTTACGGCGCGTGATTGTCTATATGGTTGTCGATACATCCAGGCACGCTTGGTCGTCCTTCGTGCGGAGGTCTCTGAGTAACCTCCCAGGCTCGTGGCGTGCGAGGATGCCATGGCCGAATAGGAGTGCAAGCGCGGCATCTGATGGCACACTACACAGCTCGTAGAGAGGTGCTCGTCAGGTCCGGGTGCGATTCAGGCTAGATGAACGAGCCCAGTCACTCGCGTTCGTTGTGTACGCCAGTATCAATGGGCATGTAGGGGCGATAGCGATGTAGTTTTGGTGCAGTAGGTACATCACAGGTACGCGGCGATAAGTATACAGTGTGGTACGACGTGATTCAACAGCTCGATAGCAAAAGTCATAGAGTAAGTGCACGAAACAGACAGTGAACAAAGCATGAAGATAGCATTGCGGGGATGAAGGCGAGAGTGGGTGTACGAAGTGAATGAAGCAGAAAAGACAGCATTTTGTATGGGCCGTTGCGTGCGCTCTGGTGCATCAAGTTCGCCCCTCTGTAGACCATGCGTAAGCTAAGTAACCACTGGCAAGCCACCGATACCGGGCACATACTGTGGTGCGTGGAGGATCGTTTTTGCTTCTTGCGGCTTCTGCTTTTCTTCGCAGCCGTCTCGCGCTTGAGTGCATTAGCACCAGATTCTTGGCTACGTGCACGCAAAGCACGCTCAACGTTGACATTATATCCGATTTTGACCAGCCCGCAGCAGGCAACAACACACCGTTCGCTGTCAGTCAATACGATTTCCTCTAAGTGCTCGGGGTTTTGAGAGTCACGGTCGGGCAATGCACTGGTAATGTCCGGCATTATGTTCGCAACGAAATGGGGCTGTGCAACACATGCCAATGAGGTATGATCAACTTGAAGACTCCTGAGATGACGCTCACCCATTGCTGCTGGAGGAACCAGAGATCCCTGTAGCGCAGGTATGATACACCTACACACTGGTGGACACCACAATAAACCCATGTGCCATCATCTTTGACAAGGTATACGTCGCTGATATTGCCACACACAATAGAAGGCTGATCATTGATGCCGTCGCTGTCAACGTACTCCAAATGTAAGCATTTGTCAACCGAAGGGCAGCAGATGCTGGGTTGTTGGTCGAAATACGAAGCACTGATCCAAGCTGGATCATTGCTGTTACAGAAATCAGCAGATACGATGTTGCGCGCAAGCCAGATTCCGTACGAAAGTTTCATCAGGATCTATCAGTCACAAATAGCTAGGTCAATATGTACGTGACTGTCTTGACAAAGACAAGGACTGACATTGTACGAATCAAAGCTGCTGGGTGGCCATGATGTCTCGTTTGCGGCTAGGCGATCACGCAGTAATCCACTGTTGAGAAACAGTTTCATATCGAAGTCATCCAAGTTGTCAAACGGCTAATACCACATCGGAGCTGATCAGCATCATCCAGTAACATGTGAGTACGACGACAAGGCTCACAGAACTGTCATCTGTCTCTCGATACGTCGCATCCTTCAATTCCTCTTCGATTTCTTTGTAAGTCTTATTCGTCAAGTCCTTCAGTATTGATTTCAACCTGAGCGACCGATAGCCACAATGACTTACGGATGAACCGGTTACCCAAGCACTCTTCTCTTCCCGTTTCTTAACCGCAGTCGAGGCTTGAAGAGTCCGCCGTGTGGCATCCAGTTCTTGCTGAAGTCTCGCGACCTCCTCTTCAAGTTCAGTGTTACTTTCTTGCAATGTGGCACCCAGTGCTTGTATGATGTCATGTCTAGTCTCGAGAAAGGTATTCCTAGATTCAACAGCAAACGGTCTCGCGTTCTGAGACAGTCCTACAGACGATGTATTTATCATACCTTGCTCTCAGAGTTGCTAGTTCGTCCACTAGAGCTTGTGTGTTTGTGAGCAACGAGTTCACGTCGCAGTGGCGGCTAGGACCTCCGAGTCTACGAGACATAGCAGCAGCCAGCTCAAATCTACAAAATGCGGTCGAGCACTATTTGAAGGGATTCAGACAATATATAATGATCGCAATGGTATCTGAAGCGACAGCCTGAGTTGCGACTTACCCTAGAGGTCGTGGTGGTAGCAGACAGGTGGATGGCACGGACGAGTCGGTGGAGACTCGGACTGAGACAGTACTGAGACTCCGCCACAAGCTGGGCTTCTGCTACAGCTCCCGATCCTGTCCAGTACGTAGTACGTCGCGATGTGTGCTGGTCTGAGCCGCTTCAAAGTTCAGACACATATGTAATGCATGCATTGCTTTCCCGTTGTTGCATCGAGTGTAAATACAGTACACCAGTAGTCACGATGCATTCCAGAAGATAGGAGCCTGCTAGTACGTACTATCATGATGTTGCCGCGAAAATACAGAATATTAGAGCAATTCACTGTCGTGGTCCATCATGCCAGTACTACCATGTCGTCGCCGTGACTTGCCAGTGGCCTCAGTTCCGATCGTTATGGCCGAACTTCATGGGTACCCAACTGAGCTAGTATTGAACATGTACTCCAAATCACTGTAGCGAAATGGCCACAAGCTATTGACCGACCGGGACCGGCGATGCACATGATATCGGAAGCAAACTTTCGCAACAGACAGAACTCGACATGATGTCATGACGCAGAACCGGGGCCTCTTAACGATAGCAGTCGTATTCATAATTAGACACTGCATCTGAGCCAAAAAAAAACGGGACAATCCTGTGAAGAGTATAATGGAACTGAGGTGCGGAGGGCGGCGTGACAGGATAACAGGCGACATGGGAAGCCACGAAGTTCATGTTGCCAGCGACCGACGCTGCGGAGTAAATCCCATCAGAAAGTATCACGGAATGTGCATATGCTGCTGCTCGCCTTGCTCAAAGTTCACGCCGAGTCCTGCCTTCGCCTCTTCCTATTCTCTCCCTCTTCAGCAGCAATGATTTACATCTGCCCCGATTTGCTACCTCCACATTCGATGAACAATCTGCTGAGCTCATCGTTCCGTCCTATGAATTCCAGCTTGTGGCAGCGTAGAAGCAGGCTTCCATCACGGAGCAGTTGTCTGAGGACTTGTGATTTGGATGCACCGCTTTCGGGCGGGACGAAGGTTCCCAACACGATAACTGTGCGAACCAAAAAAGAGAGCAAAACGTTCTGGATATGATGTCAGCTAGGTATAGTTCCGAGATCACACTCGTAGTTACCTGGCCGGATAGTCCAAGCTGGCATACATCATGAAAAGACAGATTCGACGCGCCTACGCATCTAAAGGTGCCACAGTAGCAGCCGGTGGCATCTCCATCTTCAAGCTTTTGAAGCAAACATACGTCTCGAGTTTGACCTGATCCCAAGAATGCTTTGTAGTCAAACGGCCGGTAGCTTCTGGTCTCTGAGACGTAGCAATGTAAGGGTGGATAAATAAACAACGCATGGTTGACCGCGGAGACCAGATGATGCTCTCGGGCGGACAATAGATCGTCTGGAGGTCGAGGCTAGGGCAAATCATTGTTCAATGGGCGCGGGCGAACAGTAGTGAGATTGACGCTCACCGTGCTGAAGCCAGCTTCTGTAGATGCTCGCGTCAATGATGGTGCGGATTGACAATAAAGGTTGGAACGTACGGCCTTGAAGTCTGTCCACTTCTCGTGCCCAGAGAGCCATTGGCAATGTCGTAAGGATGGCTCTTTCAATATCTCACCCTGATTCACATCGAGGAAGCTTCGGACGTCCAGTGTATCTTTACTGAGCTATAGATAGATCGTATCATGGGCCGTATGAAATCATGAATGATACGGCTCTTACGTTTGCGTGTGTATCTTGGATAGTGAGTGCCTGAGTATGCACCGCGGGACCAGCCTCAGAAGCCGGCAGATCGGGTTGAGACTCTAAGGTTTGCCTACGTTTTGCCTTCGCCTCCTGCGTAATGATCGGGGTGTGGTCGTCCTCTGTCCTTTCTTTTCGTTTTCGAGACGATGGCGCTCTGACTTCCGACAACTCTGCAAATGCATTCGCAGTTGCATTCCGAATTCGGCTCAATTCCTGAGGTACGTCACGGTCATGATCATGTAGTGTGTGCAGAAGTTGAGACAACTCACCGTCTTGTGCTCTGCTAGTGAAGCTTTCGCTGCCTTGTACTTGTCTTTAAGCTTAAGATGCTTCCCTTGTATTTCCTCCATAGCTACTTCCTGGGGAAAGACGTCACGATCAACGAGAGCCAGTGCATACTACGCTTCTTACATGATGGGATCTTTCCCCATCTCTCTCTTGAGTGAGCCTGTCAATCTCTTGACGTGCCTCTTCGTATAGCTTGACACCACGAATGAGTGAGACAACAGGTCCTAGGCCGGGCGAAACACATTCTCACCTTCGAATAGCGAGTATGATCCACCGTCGGTGACTTCTCGTCTTCACCTTCCCTGAGCGCTCGCAGCGTTAGACACGCGCCGTCGAGCTCTTGCTGCAGTCGCTCGTTCTCGGCATGTAGTCGATCCTGCTCCGTACGAGCCCTTCTGAGCTCACTGCTCATAGCCCGAATTACCTCTGTCATGATTCCCGGCTCCTCGGCTCCTGCAGCAGCATTGTCGTGAGTACTGTTGGCCCGCGACATACAGCGACTTCAACTTGTCATGGGTTGCAAGGGAGAAGTCAGAGAAAATTGAACGTCGAGGCGACAATGTCAAGGAATGTTGAAGGGCCGAAACATATAGGATCGGGCGTGCATCTTCCAGACGTACTAGGCGGCATCAAATTCCTAAATGTAGTAATGCCTGGGCACAAGTGGCCCTCGCTTGTCTTCCGCGAACATACTGATACAGACCTACTATGTACAGAACGTATTCGACCCAAGCGGCTTTATATTCACAAAAGTCAGCAGCATAAACCCCGTGATCGCTATAGTACTACAGCGTGCAGCGAACACTGGCAAGTGCTGACCATTCTAGATTCGCCTCTGATGCATGATGAGCAGATCAAGAAAGGAGGAGGAGCGAATGTGTGATTTTCGTTGAGAAGTCCGTGCAACGCTGTATCATGAAATTCAAGACTCGTCGTACAGTGAAGTGAGCAGTAATATATGGATATCACGAAATCGACAGCATCAAAACACATAGAGATGAACCAGAGTTACGCCAACGTTGTAGCTCACAACACCTTGCATGATAGTGCTGACGCACCACAGCTGCGAAGTGGAACGAAGTCAGAGCTTTCAAAACATGGAGAACGTGCATCAAGATTACCGTTACGATCGCCCCCGTTATTATTGCTTCTACTTCTACTTCTGCCTCTGCTTCTTCTTCTTTTGACTCTTCGCGCCTGCTGCGTCGACGGACGACGAGTGTTCGCTTCCAAACTGTGCAAACACTTCGCTGACTTGCTCGTTTCGGCCGACGTATTCCAGACTGTGACACCGTACGAGCAGGGTTCCATCGAGATACAGGTCTCGGAGGAAGTCCGCCTTAGTGGGGCCGTTGTGAGCTGGAACAAAGACACCGCGTGTCGGCAGTTTGTTGACCAAGCGTTTGAGCAACGAGTGCTGGCAATGCCGTCAGCAACAACGAGAGACGTTGCAAATTCTCGCTTTCCTTACCCGTGTGGTTATACGAAGCTCAAATAATTCCCGGATTGGTACCTCCGCGACACTGGCGCACCTGAAAGTCCCGCAGTAGACGTGGTTCTTGTTGTCCGACCAGAAGAGCTCCCGTACTTCACCCGGGTATAGGGTCGATGAGTCGTGGAGGCATGAATCATGAGCTCGGGTTTCGAAGGTGTACCGATGGGCTGGACGAAAGTGCAAGCATCGCATAGCTGAGCCAGGAGACCAGATGATGCTGTCCTGTGCGCAATACATTGTTTTACACTTGACTCTGGCATGACGTCAATACACCATTACGGTGCTCAGAGCTTCATGCGTCCCACCTAGCTATCGCCTTGTAAGAACAAACATGCACATGATTAGCTATCTAGCCACTTCACTCGCAATTCGACGTACGGCCATCAATTTGTCCCAGCCTTGCCCACGGTGGCGAGCACAATGACTCATGGAAGGGGTAACAAATTTCTCGCCGTCAACAATTCCCAAGAACTCTCGGAGGTTCGACTTGCGTGCGTTTGAAGTCTTCTTTGGAACCTGTGAGATCATATGGTATCGTCGAGCATAGCGTCACTCACACTCTTCGGGGGACTACTTCCACTCTGTGGAGTCGTTTGGCCCTTCCAAGATCTTGTGACATTGAAATTACTACCCGCCGTCTCAGGTGCCACAGGTTGCTGGTTGGAACGGGACTCGGCGAAACCTGCACCTTCCTCAGGGTCCTCCTCACGTTTGCGTTTTCGAGGCAGCTCAACGTGGGTCCCGGAAAGCTCTGCAACCGCACTCGCCGCTGCATCTTGAAGTTTAGCTAGGACCTAAGGAAGCGATCAGGTTCATACAATGGGAGGAAGGCAAGGCGAACTCACGCTCTGGGTCTCCCTGAGTGCAGCCTTCGCATCCTGGTACTTGTCTTTCTGCTTCGCGAGCTTTGACACGACTTCTTCCATTGATTTAGCCTGCACAAACATGAGCGTGTTACGATACGTCACGATTCAACTTGGAGCTCGAGGGGTTACGTGTTGAGCGTTTTCCTCATCTTTTTCTCGTTTCAGTCGATCAACCTCCCGTCGTGCTTGGTCATACTGCTAAAAAGCGTAGGAGCATCAGTTAATGAGATCGAACCGGTACCCTCGAGCTCACAGCATTACTGATACCCCGCTTTCCCTTATGTTCCCGTCCTTCTTTGGCGGCGCGCAGTTGAAGGCGGACGTCATCTAGCTCTCGCTGTAGGTCGTCCTTCTCGACGTGCACTCGATCTAGCTGCCCTCGCGCCCTTCTGAGCTCACTGCTCATAGCCCGCACGACTTCGTCCATGATTTCCGACTCCGAGTCGTCATCGGATCCCGCCGCTGCGTTATCGTGTATACTGTTAGACCGAGGCATGCGTCAACTTGAACTTCGGTGAAGCAGCAGGCTGTGACGAAAGACTGGGCTACAACACGCTCAATGAATGTGAGGCGTAGGTCGTATATGCTCGGTGGGAAGAAGGGTTGAAACGTTGAAGTACAGACGGTACAGTACGTACTCAACGTGAGATATACTTATCAGACGGCATCAAATTCCCAAAAGTAGAACGGCAAACTGCGCCACTTGTGGCGTAAAGCTTTGGTAGGTGACCTTGACCTTCCCTTGACCTTCCCCAAGTCCACCCTCCCTTGACATCCGTTCAATTCACGCATACTATTTTGCCATTGACTTGTATGTCTATCCCTGCGGAGTTGCCGAAGCTGTCTCTTAGCCCAAACTCGAAGGGGAAAGCGAAAGAGAAGGAGAAACGGCAGAAGAGTGCGAACAAGCCGCAGACAGAGCGACTGAAGACCGTAGTGCGCCGTCTGCCTCCAAATCTGCCAGAGGATATCTTTTGGCAAAGCGTGCAACAATGGGTCACCGATGAGACCGTTCAATGGAAGGCTTACTATCAGGGCAAGTTCAGGAAGCGGTAAGCACGCTCTACACTATCCTGTGTCGCGCGCGAAGGCAGGACGTCGATTGTCTATTAGAGTGAACAAGGAGAACATCCCGTCTCGTGCCTACATCGCATTCAGAAACGAAGATCAGCTAGCTGTATTCAGCAGGGACTATGATGGCCATCTCTTCCGGGACAAAGCAGGTGCGCCCTGTCCCATGCGGCGTGCGTATGGGCTCACATCTGTCGCGCCAGGGAACGAGTCTATCGCCGTGGTCGAGTTCTCGCCATACCAGAAGATCCCCTCCGAGAAGAAGAAAGTAGATGGCAGAACGGGTACGATCGAGAAAGGTGCGTGCGGGCAATAGTTCTCACAAAGCGACGCTCATCAGTTCGCAGACGAGGATTACATATCGTTCCTGAAGTCGTTGCAAGAGGGAGGCGCGAAGCCAGTTGACGGAGAGACGATCGAGACTCTGAGTGCGTCGCCACATCTTTCCTTTGTCGCCTAATGTACGAATGACCTCGCTCCGCACGCAGTTGCAGCATCGCAGCCACCTCCGCAACCGACCACCACGCCCCTGCTCGAAGCCCTTAAAGCGGAGAAGTCCGCTCAGAAGGACAAGGAGGCCATCCTCCGCAACCATGCGCACTACAAGGACGCCTCCGTCGCCGCCTCAGCAAAGAAGAAAGACGAGAAGAAGTCCGCAGCAGGTGGCGCCGCGAAGCCTGCGCCAGCTGAACAACCGCTCGGTAAGAAGGCGAAGAAGGCCGCGGCGAAGGCAGCCCAGCAGCCTGCAGCGTCGTCATCTGCTCCCGGGGCGAAGACTCCCGCTCCCACCCCGACCACCCAAGGGCAGGCGAAACCAGCGCAGCCCGGTCAGTCTGCAAAGGCTCCTCGCCTACCGCGGGAACGCCAGCCAAAGCACTCTCCCGCTCCCGCGCCTGGCGCAGCTGCGACGCCTTCCCCTGCCGCGTTGCCTTCTCAGCCTGGTGCGGATGCGTCTACATCGACGTCCGGAGACGCAGCGGCAGTTGCTCAGTCGGGTCCCAGTCGGCGGCGCCCCGTCCTCGGGCTCGGCTCGCGCCAGTTCGAGGCCGCGCTCAGCGGTGCCGGCGTCAGTGGACGTCCTCCGCGGCGTGGCCAAGCGCAAGACAAGGACAAGGACAAGGGTACAGCTGATACACCGTCCGCCCCCGGCGAGGCCGCACCCAAGACGAAGGAGAAGCGTGCTGGCCAGCCGGCTGCGCCGCCTACTATCCTGCAGAGAGATGTGACGACTCCGACGCCGAAGATTTTGACTCGGGATGGAGCGGTTGGAGGTGCTACTCCTGCTACGGATGGTGTTATTCAGGAAGAAACGCCTGGGGTTGGTGGTAGGGGCGGTAGACGCGGGAGAGGGAGAGGTCGCGGTGGTCCTCGGGGAGGGGCTCCTTGAGGAAATCCAGGTCAGTTCAATGTGGAGGCGGGAATGCAATTCGGGACGCTGACTATTCTCCAGTTGTACGACATGTTCATCCGTTCACCCCGTCGCTCTTGGAGCCGGATATGGAAGGGCTGAGACGTCTGGTCGGGAACATCAGTGGGCTGCCTCTTAGGCTCTAGCGCGGCGGACTCTAGCACGAAGCTTAGTCTCGTGTTCAAGCTGCCGCTCAAGATGAGCTATTATGGTCACGTTCGTACAGTAGGGCTTCTTGTCCAGGTTCGCCACAGGGTGGCACTTCACGAAGTGCCCATGGAGGGATAGTACTCCTACTATGTGTCAGATAATATCGTATTGCCTTATGCCGCCTGCACCCCTACGCGCTATTGTCGAAAACGAAGACTACACGAACATGAGTGTGACTGTCCCGGATTCGCACTCTCCGAGGTGAGATCCAATCGGGATCTCGTTGTTGAGCTGCTGCCCGTAGACTGCTATCATGATGTACACTCAGTACGCAATCCCATCCCAGAAATTAGGACCCGCCGAACACGTTCCCCTCGGACCTCGACGGCTTTGCTATTGGTGGATTCTCGGATTGACGGGGATGTCGACTAGTCACGGTGCTAGTGACCGCAATCCTGTGCTGGCAAATGTCCGCGCCCTGACAAACGAGCTCACGACGCTACGAGCTAGGTATGACAACTCGTGTCTTCCAAGATATACCCTGCTAGGATACATGCTAACGGTCATAGAATCAATACTCTGAACACCATATATGCTGAGACAAAAGCAATGTGTCGCAACTTGAAGGACAGGAACGTTGAACTTGAAGGGGAGAACGCGAGACTTCGGCATGAACTTGATGACACACGCCAGACTCTCCAAGCGACTGTAGTAAAGAAGGAGGACTCAGAACCGGACTTGATAGCAGTAGGATCTGTGAGTCCGCGTGCGGCTATGTAGCTGGACTTCAAGTCAGGATCGCTAACATGGCTTCGACGGACAGCCTAGCTACCAAGCATTGAAACAGGAGCTAGACAATGCATTGCACCAGATAATGTTGGAAAGGCTTGAGCATGTGAGTCAGTGTATCTACCATGTTATGCGCTATCAGTCACACATGTTTCGGGTCAGAGACACTTAGTGGACTCCTTGAACAGACAGCTCGCTGACCTTGCGAAGCAAGACAAGGAGGTGAGGGAGGATTTGAACAGTACTTTAGATGCAAATCCTGTGAGTATATCGCTCCCTTCGTGCACATACTACTGACCACTTGTTCACCGCAGTCTGACATAATACGTGCTCCAAGTGCCGAAGCGAGTGAGGTATCTATCTTGGGCATGAGTGACCATGGTTCAGTGTTAAGTTATGCGAGTGACTCAGATAGTGGTGAGCTGATTCCCAGTATGCGCTACCGTGAACTGTTTCTGACTGCCTACACCGTCTACACCGTGAACTTTAATTGAACTGCGGCCCCAACGCAAGATCTCGATGACGGGCCATTTGATCCCGAACGGTTTCTTCGATGCGGGGGACTTCACGGCGCAAGCCTTGGTACCCTTGACAGTGCGGGTCTTATCACCCTTGATGCCCGGCACTGCGATGCATCTGCGTCATCCAAATATCTGCGAGATGTGCGTACCATCCTTGTTCTGTTTGAGTCATTTCCATTTTGCGTGAATGGTACGACCGATCGTTTCAATCCTACAGATACTCAAGGAACATTCGTACGGCATACGCGGCTCATGAAGTGATTGATGATATCTAACAGCCGCGACAGCATCCCCGGTCTGCACTGGACATGCCTTCCTACCGACAGTGCCTGGTCTTCATCCCAGAAAAGGTGTTTGCTACTGCTACCTTACAAGTATTATGATCCGGACACAGGGAAGCTCACCCTTACCAAGTCTGGCGACCATGCACCTCGGATCGTATGGTGTACCATTTGACGCTTTATTATCCCATATCAAAAAGTTTGTAACTCACCGTATCAAAAAGTTTCGCGACCTCACTCCATCCAAAAATTTTGCAACTCGCTCCATCTAAATTGTTGCGCAACTCGCTCAATCTAAAAGTTTCGCAACTCGCTCCATCTCAAACTTTCGCCACTCACTAAATCAAAAGGTTTCGCCAATCGCTCCATCTAAAAGTTTCGCCACTTGCTCCATCTAAAAGTTTTGCACTGCCACCATATCTAAAAAGTTTTTGGTGCCCACCATTGTATAACACTCGCTCAATATATTGTTCTCGCGCCGAACGACACGCTCAGCAGCGCCGACGATGCGCTACGACACCGAGGGTGTTATGCGTCACGAGCCCGCGTCGACGATGGGCGCTCCGAGCGCTGCTCAGTGCTCTCGACCGCCACCACCTCGTCTCTCACCGCGATTCAGGCAGCTACACCAATCGCCCGACTGCACTAGGAGCATCCGACGACCCTGCATGTGGACAAGACCGCTCCTCCTTCCTCGCCTGGTTCAGAAGCTCCACCCGGGAGCCCTTCACTCGACTCTCGCACGAGGCGCGTGAAGTCCAGCACCAAGCCACAGAACCACGAGAACGCGGAGCCGGGAGCGCAAAGGGAGGCGAAGGAGGAGGAGAGGAAGGGAGAGGAGAGGGAAGGGCATAGGTCAAGCAAAAGAAAGGAGCATGAAGGCTCATCCACCACAGGTATGTCTTCGTTGGACTTCTCCGCCTCGCTGCCTTCGCTCCTAGTGCCGGCCCCAGCAGGCATACAGAATGTGATAACTACAGTCGGCAACGTGCGTGTCTCGATAAAGATCCTGCGACACAGCACTCACTGATCTTCGGGCCACCGTCGCCCAGGCTTCTCACGGCGTCCGCATCTTCCACAAGCCCCGCCTCTCTGCGGCACCATTCGACTCTTCCCCTGGGTCGGTCCGTGATCGATGTCGCGTCCTCGAGTACTGGCGCCTCCAGTCCTGCGCTGGGTTCCGTCACCAGTCCGACGCCTCCACCCGAGGTGGTCAGTCCGCGCAAGCAAGAGCGCGCGGGATTGGAGTGCGCCAACTCTAGCGAACCGACGACTATCCTGCATGATGCATATTCCCGTCCGCACGCCTCACTCCAGTGCAAGTTCGTGTTCCACGTCTCGCTCCCAGTCTCCCCTCCCACCGGGATACTAAGACCAGGCTGCTAACAACCTCCGGTCTTTGAGGATATTGGTGGGTGACCCAGTTGACCCGATCATGACCACCCTGTACCAGCTGATTGGCATTGCGACGGACATTCAGGAGATGCCCATCAACCAGCTTACTGCAAACCCGAAGGTCTGCGAGCAGCGCGTGCAGAACATTGGTAAAGCGTGGGACGAGCACCCGGATTGGCACGGACGCAACTGGTACGTCTTCCGTGCCTCGCCATAATCGGAATCCACAAGAACGGCACGTGGGCTGCGCACAAGACCATCGAGTGCGCGCAGACTCTAGACGAAGTGGCTCTCGTCACGCAGAACTTGAGGCCCTACGTCCCGCCGCTCTTGTTGGACCAGTTCGGTAACTACGTCGTGCAGTAAGTGTGAGAGTACGTGTGTATGGGGATGCATACTAATAGCCGGGTAGATGCTGCCTACGCTTCGGCGCACCCGCCACCAACTTCGTGTTCGACGCGATGGTCGGCCGACTCTGGGAGATTGCTCAAGGCCGCTTCGGAGCTCGTAGCATGCGTGCCTGCCTCGAGAGCAGCAACATCACCGCCAGCCAGCAGCGCCGCATCACTACTGCGATCATCCTGAACTTGATCCCTTTGGCGACGAACCCGAACGGCGCGCTGCTTCTGACGTGGCTGCTGGGCACGCCGAACTTCCCGTTGAGGTGAAACTTGCTCGCGCCGCGATTCACGCCGCACTTTTCGTACCTGCGCACCGCCGCACCCACAAGCTCGCCGCGCTCACCGCGCTCAGGATCGTCAACCAGAAGGTCGAGCCCGAGGCGTCTACGCAGATCGTCGAGGCCCTCTTCTCGTCGCCGGGCGATCACGTCCTTACCGACATGCTGGGCGGTCAGGTTAATGATGTCTCTGTTGTCCACAAGATCTTGACGAGCCCCTTCGTCGACCATGAGACACTGAGAGCTTCTTTCCAGCACACCGACTTGCAAGCCACTTACTACCTTCTCCGTCGCTATACCGAACTACAGCGCAAGTACACAGAGCGCAAAGCGAGTTTCATGGTCTTGCAGGAGGGATGTGAAGCCCTCGAGGCAAAACTCTGTCGCGTGCAGGAGATATGTCATGACCTGCAAGAACAACTCTCTGCGCAAGAGGAGACGGCACAAGCAAGATACGAGGAGCTCGAGCGGTTACGCGCTGACGAACGCCAGGAACTCAAGAACGCCGAGGCAGAGCTTCGGGACCAGCTTGCGAAGCGGGAACGCACCTGGACTGGGTACGTAATTAGTTCGATCCTGGCATGAATTCCCACTGATCCGCCCGCGTAGGAAAGTACGTATGGCCTGCTTCTCATCCACTCCCGCGAGACTAATGATGGGTCCCATTGATCTTAACAGTATGAGGTACTGAGTAACGAGTGTAAACAACTCACCGATGAGCTCCGAGAATGCGAGCGCAACCACCAGAACCCGCTTCCGGTACCTCCCCGGTACGACATCAGGGACCGCCACTACTCGCAGACCTTCCCCGAGCACGACAACATGGTCATCATGCAAGACAAGGCCGATGAGCGGCCCGAGCCGACCAACTCACTCAAGATCGACATGGGCGAGAAGGAGAACATCCCACGTCTCGCCCGTCGTGCCGACGCTACCGATCCCGCCGCTCGCGTCGGAGACGTTCCGCGCGTTTAGAGACGACATCCCCGGCAGCGAGGACGAGCGCGTGCGCAGCCGCAACGCGAAGCCGATCCCCATCAGGAGCGGCCTGCACCGCGCGGGCTCATCAAGACTCAAGTACAAGGAGCTGATGGCGCGCTCCCTCCCGCGCAGCATCGTCGAAGTGCACACGGCGAGCTGCTCGTCATCCCGAGCGTGTCCAACCTCCACGCTGCCATCCCCGAGCGGGAGCGGCGCGCGGACGTCCCCAGTGGCAGCGGGCTGGGCATGAACCTCACGTCCGGGCGGTACATCGACTGCCAGGACATGAGCGAGGAGGAGCGCCAGGTCCGGCGCCGTGCGCAGCTGCATGAAGTCCTGCACGACCCCACGGTCAAGAGCTCCTCCGGCGCTGGAACATCTGGCAGCATCCCGCGCTCCCCAGTGCCCGTCATCCCACCGACACGCTCAAATACGGTCCGCTGGGCGAGCGAGGCCGCCAAAGCCGCCGAGCGCGCCCGCGCGGCGAACATTCACACGTCGTCTTCCTCCTCACACCTCCAGGCCCCGGTGTATATCTCACCGACGTCGCCCTCCGCGTCATACACGACACGCGCGCCCTCCCCGACGTTGCATACCTCCATGTGGCCGCCATCTCCCACATGCAGCCCCGTCTCATTGTTGCGGATGCGTCCGCAGCAGGTGCGGACGGCGTCGACGGACAGTCTGAAGACAATGAAGATCCCCGCGAGTGCATTGGGCCTGACGAGGATGTTCCTCGTGCAGGAGGCACACGTACAGCGGGTGTCATAACCACGGCTGCGACTCTGATCATATTATACAGAGTGCCCGGGCTGGTTCTGAGGGCAGGGTATCATAGCTGCGCTGAGCGCGAGGAGAGGATGCCAGTAGGTCCCGGCAGGTTGACTATTAACTTATCCGTGCCTGGCCGTTCTCGATGATTCGCCCGACGGATACTTTCTTGACGATTTAAGACATGTGTCATATACATCGTGCTGAACATCAGGGAAAACCGCCCAAACCCCCAAGACGTTGGCGAGATGTCCAAGAGCTCTTGAATGCCTCTTGAAGAGATTCATATCTATTCAAGATGTAGACAACAGCTCAAGACAAGTCCCTCAATATATAGAGAGCACTATTGCTCAGTGACATCTCTGATAGCTCTTTACTATCTTTCTTACAGGTTGGGAACGCCAGCCATATGGCCCATATTCTGGCAGCTCTTCAACTTCTCTGAGAGCATTATGCCAATCTCTCAACAGACCACATCAATTCCAATACGGGCCATTGCATTCTGCGTATTGCAGCATAGAAATCATATCCATTGACATACAACATACAGCCCGTCGAAGCTATGCTAATATCCTACATCCAGCGCATGTTGTACAATGTGAGCTATAAATGGATTTGCTGGTTGTGAAGGAAGAAAAGCACAGCTACAGTATTGTGAGCGACGAATGATACGTAGTACATATGTGAGCGACAGACGATGAGTAGTACATACAAGCTGTGAGAGCATCGAGACGGACAGGTATATCACCGGCTTGGAGGCTTGGATCCAATGTGAGAACAGAAGTACGCGCCCCACGCGCAACCTGCAAATGATCAGTGAATGAGCCCACCAGACAAGACGGGACCATACCCATATTTGCAATCACCTCACGCCCGCTGCCCTCAGGCTTTCTTGCCCTTGGTCGAGGTGGGAGGATTACGCTGGGTCGAAGGACCCGCTTCCTGGTCGGCAGCTGCGGTGGATGCCGTGGTCGGTGTCGCAGCGGCAGCCTTGCCCTTGCTCCATCGGCCGATCACCAGCCCCAAGTCAATGCCATCGTCCACATCGACGCTCTTGCCGGTTTGCTTCGGGGCCGAGCTTTGAGCAATCCCCGCGAAGGCCCTGACAGATGGCTGTTAACACTAGCAGAGTCGGAAGCTGACCACTTACCTGATGTTCGTGACCAGGGTGTCATTCAAGGACTCAACGAGTGCGGCTACACCCTCATTATAGGCACGGCTATTGGGGTCTGCATGTCGACGTAGCTTCTCGATGCCCGCCAACAAGCGATCGAACCTACAAAAATACATGTCAGTGTGAATGCGACCCCATGGCAAGCAGATGTACTCGGCCGCATAAGTCTTCTCCTCGAAGGCGACGGTTGCATTGCCCTTCAGAGATTCATCCAGGGCTACCAAAATCTAACAGTGTGTTAGAAGTGAATCAATGGAATATTCGGGCACTCACCGCACTGCACGTCAAGGCAATCATGTTGCTCGACGGCGGCATGACATCGAGGTCGAACCGCTCTCGGTTCTCACTACGGAGAGCCTCTGGATGCTGCCCAACCCACCACTGACGGGCCATCACCTCAGCAATGACGATGCTGTGGAATGGCGTGTCAAGGTCGGGGGTTTCCCATAGCTGTTGCAAGTTAGCTAGCTAGGAAAAAGACTGATCAGTGATGCACGTACCGAAGGGTCCACGTCGGGATCCGGCAGCTCCACGTTCCCGTAGTGGAAGGTATTGTTTTGCTTCAGGAACCTGATGCGTGCCTCCTTCGCCTTCTGCAGCTTCGCCGTACGACTCACCGCGTCCAACCCGGTGTCCAAGATCTTGATGGACAACAACTCCTTCTCCACGACACACTTTGCTTTCTGCTTCAGTTCTTGTCGGATTTGCGCCGCCGCCCTGTAGACCTGAGGCATGGAAACCAAATTATCATTAGCATGGGATAGCTGACGCGAAACACTCACATATCTGCCCATCTTCGCTTGGATCTTCTCATCCGACCACAGCGGGGCGAAGTCCTTTTGGAACTCATCCGTTTGGTACTTCTGCAGGATTTGAAGGTCGTTCATGATGTCGATCGGGATGGTGAGCTTCTCCATGCTCGTGCCTTTCAAGCGCGGCCACGCATTCTCGAGGGCGATGTAGACCCGCAGCTCTTGCATTGCTTTGTGCAGGAAGCTCTTGACAGGCTCTTTCACGAACAGCTCCTTGACGTCCTTGACGTCCTGCAGCTGCGTCGATGTGACGTCCTTGGTCCTGGTACTGGTTTTCTGCACCTTGGCCTTGCCTTTGTTCTTCGAGTCCGCATTGTCGATCGTCTGTACGATGAGCTACAAGATTTGGTTAGTCTAGATTCGGCCATTCGAAAATGCTTACATCGTCAGCTCCGTCAAGTTCGTCCAACTGATCCTCGTCACTGGCGTCCTCGTGCTCTTCAACTTCGGGCTGGTAAGAGGAGCTATCGTCGCCGGAGCCATCGTCCAAGCTGCCAGATGCCCTGTCTTTGACCTTACTCACCGTCGCCGGCGGTTCGCCGGCAGACGCGCTGTCAATCTCTCCAGAGGGCTGAGGGCTACCGACCGGATCTCATGAACAGCCCATTAGTGGTGCTTTGATTCGTTGAGAACCTGTGCATCATGGACTTACCTTCAGCATCCGACGACGGCACGTTGAATCGGCCACCCTTCCTCTTGCGAACCCCTTCCCCGCTTCCACCCTGCAGGACACTCCGGACCGGACCCACGGGCTTGGCTCTCCTAGTCGTCGCACCTATCCAAGTGTCAGGCTGTGTTGAGGCTTACTCGTATAGCCACATACCAAGTCGATCGGTAAGCGCTTTCTCCTCATTGGAGATGTTTCCTCTTTGCTTGCGAGCCCTCGCGCCACGGGGTTCCTCAATCTCATCTTTCTCCGCAGGTGGTGGCCCTGTATATAAACGGCACGACATGAGCTCTGCGCTTCGGACATGTATGCAGGGCTTATGCAACTCACTCAGCACGATCGTGTCGCCTTCCTCCGGCTCGGCGGCAGCTTCTGGTGAGTTGGTTTCCGAATCTACGGTGCTGGTCTTAGGTTTCTTCTTGTCAGGCTCCGCAGCCGACTCATCATCGCTGCTCTCCTTGTCAGAATCGATGACCTTCCTCTTGCGTGGCTTGCCCGTCGGTCTTGACTTGGAAGCGGAGGCTCCTGCGGCCGTTGACGAGCGGTGGCGGGGCTGACATGCCATAATGACTCACCTTCCTTTGCCTTTCCTTTGGTCTTAGGCCCGATTGCATGGTTGCCCTCGCCGGTGGACTCATCGCCGTCCTGCCCACTCTCTCCCAACATATCGATATCGGCTTCAGGTTGGTCTTCTTGCCGTATCATGGCTTCACTGTTGGCCTGTATAGCTACAGAAATATCAATGCACCATATTCTGCTATTCAGTGAATACTCACTCTCCCGACGCTCGTTCTCAGCTTTTCCCCGCTTGTTCGCAGCCGCAACCATCGACCTAGCCATTTTGTTCAGCTCTTTGGGAGCCAGATCAGGGTGCTGCGCCTTCAGCGCATCCTTCATCAACTTGAGGCTTTCTTGATAGGATAATGGGGTTGCCCCCGTCGACCCGCCTTTGCTTGACGGGGCCTTGGTGTCCGAGGCCGCACTTTTGCTGGGCAGTGGCTTGGGTACCGAGGCGTCATGCTTGCTCGACGAAGCCTTCGTCGGTGCATCGCGTCTCTACGCGGGTTTGCTTGCGGTCGCTTTGGTCTTGGTCGGGACGGAGACATTGGGCTTCTTCGTAGACCTTGTTTCGCGCTGAGACATGCTGTGAGTTGGATACAAGGGATGCAAGGAGACCGACTTGTCACAGCAGGTGGAATCTCTTGGGTGATTCCGCGACTGATAGTGAAAACGTTCCGGGTCGGCGATACGGAGATGCGCGGAACGTCTGACTTCGCGAAGCGTGATTCGAACGTGCTCCGCCAATTGCTGGCCCAGGCTCTTCAAGAGTGCGTAGATATGTTGACCGAGAGTTATGGTTGAGCTGGAGGTTCAAAAACAGGTCATTACGTGGCGGTACATGGCGTCTGTCAAAGAATATGCATTCGGGTAACCTGACGTACACGGCGCTAACTCTATCGAAAGTGACAGTTCTCCTCCCAGCCATTTCGCCCGCCTTTGGTCCAACTATTTATCTCTCTGTCTGTATGTAGTACGAGGGACGCACGCTTCCCCAAGAAATGTAAATTAAAATGGGTGATACGAGACGACGGGAAAGCCGCAAAATCGCCGTTGCGCAGAGGAAGAACCAACCCAGCTTCGTATAAGCACAGCGCACCTCCTTCGAAGTCTCCTACTGCGAGGACAACGCAGAGAGACTTATCCTGTCGGTCTCTGTGAGCCAGGGTAGCCACATTGATGTTGACAACAAGGGATAGGAAAGGGTGAGCAATTGAGTGAGCGTTGCCGGGAAGGACTTCTGCGTCCAGGCGTAACTCATCGTACTCGTCGGGCAGCGTATGCATGATCTTTTTGCGAGCTTCAGACAGATTGTGGCGGCTGAAAATGTCCGCTATCTCACCTGTTCAGCCATATATTCCAATACTTCGCTGAACGTTGCTTCCAAGATTTCGTAGATGTCGGAATGCTTTCGCATATCGGCCGAGACGTACGGTAACATCTGCGCGTAGTTCGTCCGCGAATTTCCGTCTTTTTCAATGAGCATAGGGTGGGACTGCGCAGATATTCCATGGCCCTGCAATCGCAGTTCGTAAGTCATCTACTCACCAGATCATAGGCTTACAAGAGCGTAAGAACATACCCTGGTCCCGTGCCTGTTATACCATGCATAGTGAAGCGCGGGGAAACTGAACTCGGCTCCTTGAGATGCAGAGCACATGTGTTGCAGGTTCTCTGGCTGATCTTCGAAGCAGGCGATCAAGTTCGCCATCAGCCTCTGTTTCAAATGGTCCGGCATGTTGGCATATACGCTCGCGACCAGACCACCTCGAGAATCCGAAATTCTGAGGGGTTCGCTGAGAATAATGAGATGAAACAGTTTTGAGGAGGGATCGTGAGGGAACAACACACCTGAGAACAGACGGCACCACGGTAACGTATCCTTGGGGACGGGAACTCCCGTTAAGCTTATGCCATTGTATGTGATTTAATATTCAGCGGTCTCAAGGCAGATGGGTGGTTACGCACTAGATCTTGTAGCTCCTCCAGAGTCTCAGGTTCCTCCGCCGATTGCGCTAAAGCGCGCTGCGTCTCGGTCCATGCAAATGCGTCTTCGGGTGATTTGGGCACCGGATTTGCAAGGAGTGATTCTTCCTCTAGATCCAAGCCGGCTATTGTTACCGTAGCACAAGGCGAGTCGGGTGTTGTCGAGCTTCCCTCTGAGTCTTCCTCCACATCGTCATCTTCATCATCCACCGTCATCGGAGACGGATGATCCTGTACTACGTGGAATTCCGGCCTGAAAAGAGATTGGCTGGCGTGAGTCAGGGCGATGGTTCCCAGCTCGGCGGGGTGCTCCACTGGATCAAGGCACGTTGCCCAGACACCCCAGTTTCTATCAACCTCTGTGAAGTTGCTGGCAGGCAGTCAGCGAGTGATTGGTGAGAAGACGGAAGCCAACGTACTTCAGCAGTAAAGAGTCAAAAACCTGATCAGATTGTCGCAAATCTGAGCAGGTCAACGAGTCGGAGCTCAGCTTCAGCTCAGCCAGAAGACCGGGAGAGAACATTGTGTCGAATCGAAGGGGCAGGGATTGGCGAAGACTAGAGATGGCCGGAATAACGTGTTCTATGACTTGTTTGCCCGCAGGGGTATCTAAAGAAATTCTCTGTCATGAGGTGCCGTAGCGCTGCCGAGATTCAAAGACATAATTACCGGGATCGGGATCGCGAAGTACGTTCGCAAGCTTAGAGGCGAAATCGCCAATGGATTTCACGACCGTCGAACGCAGTCCAGCCTCCGCGATGAGTATAAGTGCATAAATCGAACCTCGAATACGGTGCTCGCCTCACTGGCAGGTAGTTCTCATGTACATATGATATGGGACTCACCGCCTGAAGCAATGGTGGCGAACTTGCCGCCATTCTGGTTCCAGTGTAAAAATGTTCGCTGCGATGGGGCGTAGTTGAATCCCCGAACGTGTTGTTCGTAGATGTCACAGACGCTTCTCATTCTGACGCGTTGCATGCTGAAAAAGCTCAGTTTAGGAACTGCATCAAGCAATATTAATTTAATACGCACCTTGTACACTTGCACACGAGCTGCATGAGGTGCACGATGAGCATGAAATCTACGCAAGACTTGCCGGCTTTCATACGGCGACAGCGATGAACTAGTGAGAGCAAGGAGTCGTCGAGAAACCCCTGCCCTCCGTCCCCGCGTTCCATCAGTGCCTGAGCTGCGGAGAGCTGAGACGTGCTGTCAGAGGAGATAATGGATGCAGAGAGTAGGGTGAGGAAGGTGTTGATCGCCATGGTAGGCTTGCTGCCTGCCCGGTGTCGAGGAACCCAGCGTTTTTTGGAGGAGGAACCGGCTTTGCACTGTGCTGGATCGACAACGATGAAGGCTTGTCGATCCGCCCGCCTACCGGGAACTGCAGTTTTGCCAGGCTTTGTTGACTGAGAGGCCCGGTGATGCGCTGACTTTTTTCTCGTGCTTGTACGACGGGACGACGTAGCTCGACTTGAAGCGGCACTCCCTGTAGCGTGGGCCCAGGTATGCACATCAACACAATAAAAGAGAAGATTCAATCACTGACCTTCGACCGGGACGGAACTTTGGTTTCCATCCGAGTCGTCCCCAGCCTCCGACTCCATAGCTGAATCAACGTCGCCCGCAGAGCCGTCCAGCGCCTGGCCGTCCCCAAGTCTGTTGGACAGTGCTTGAAGTGCGGGTGAGTTGCTCCCGTACACGTCCAAGAGCTCTCGTAGAGCTATGGCCTCTTCCGCCGAGAGCCAGAGGCGGGCGCCGCGTGGGGTGGCGGTAGTGTCCAAAGGGGCCATCGCAGAAGAGGCGCCGAGGACTCAGGGCGAAGACACTGGGTCAACCATGGGCTTGGCGCACCAACCCATCCCTTAGAGACGTCAATAATACGCAGATTTGAGCTACATACATACTGGTACCAATAACATCACAAAGAATCCGAAAGTCGTCCTACAGCCCCAGTATATAATCCACATCGTCCTCGCGCGCCTGCTCCACCTCCACCATCTCCTCTACCTCCGCTTCCTCGTCGCTGCCAGAGGCCTCCTCTTCGTCCGGCCCATGGTAGATCCATGTTTTCACGCGCACAGCGCCGACCGCCTGGATGAGGTTCAATAGCCTGTTCGACAGGCTATTGGCGGTGTCGTTGATGGCGGACTCGGTGAGAGAAGTGGAATCCATGACGTCGCTGTACGACTGGGCGTTGGCAGGATTCGGGGTCTGATGTTCAGCTTTGATGATGCCCAGGAACCGCTTCACGAGGCGCTTCGACCGCGGGGACAGCGTTTCGATGGTGGTGCCCTGGCCCCCGTGCAAATACTCGCGCATGGCCACTGTTACGTCCCAAAAGCATCGCAACAGTAGCCCGACCTCGTCTAGGAAGCCGGGCGCTGTTGTGGTGTTGACCATGTTTCGACGGATCTCCTGCGGATGGTTGTTCGGCCAAGACGGTGTGAGTGCGAAAGGTGTGCTCACCACATGGGGAAATGCCGAAAGTATACGCCGCCTGTCCCATCCCTCCGACTCCGCCTTGTGAAGAAGACCGTACTGCGGTGGGCGGATGAGAACGATCGTCGCGTCCGTCTCACCGTGAACGACATGGCCGTTGAACGTGACGGCGGGGACCGTGTGGTGCTTGAACATCCCCTCGAAGACGTCCGTGGTCTGTCCCCATTGAAGCGGCGCCTCCACCATTCTCCCATACCGACGACCTCCCTCCCACGTCCTGCAACCCCATTCGCCCCACTCGTTCGGGATCGGCGGGCGTGCCTCGACACCGGCCTTCCAATGGTCCAGCACCCCGCGATTCGGCTTGCTCCGCTGGCCCTTGCGTTCGTGCACGCAGACGATAACGAACCCAAGGACGGGGGCCCAGCCATTTCTTTGGGATTTACTGCACTAAATGTGGCTGAGAAATGTGTGAGTGAATACGGTAAAGAGACTCACCTTGCGGGTCGAATGCGGAAGCGTCTCGCTGTAGCATGTTTCCTGTCTGAGGACAGGTACCCTCTGCCCAGCGAAGGTCATGATGTATTCGGTGTCGGACCGTATACCCTCATCCGACGTAAACTCATCCTGGACGGATAATGCGTCCAGGTTGGCGCCGCGATCGAGGCGCGCAAGGAGCCCACCGAAGAAGGCGGCAGCGAAGCTGTTGCCTCCGTGATGGACAAAAGAGGGCATGGTGCCAGTGAGCGGATATGTGATCGACGGTAGAGGCTAATCGGATGCGCACCTGGCGTTGGTCGCCGCTTCTTTCCCGCACAGCCAGCCTGGGAGGGAGAAGCTCGAACAGACCCTGTCGAGCTTCATTTACGTTCGAAGCGCACGGGTGCTCCGGCGCCCCGTAGGAGGGAGCGCCAAGGGCCGGGACTTGCAAGTTCCATCGGAGAGCACTTACCTTCTTGGGACTATCGCAAAGCATTGCGAACACCTAATCGGGCCCCATGAACGAGATGTGCGTACGTGCGTAACTATATGCCATAAGGTGGCTGACTGCCAAGGGTGGATAATATAAGGCTACTTGTACAAAACGACGCGAAACAAACCCTTCTGCCCGTATGGATCATTAGCCCATTTCAGGTTCATCTTGCCCTCCCCCTTGCGAAGACTCATCGTGTTTCCCGCGACCCAATGCGCGCTATGATTGAGAGAGACAGCGATGTCCTTCGCCAGACTCTTCCGGCGCGCGGCTGCTTCGTCCTCAGGCGAGAGGAGCCATTGGTGTTGCGGTTTGTCGGTGAAAGCGGCGAAAGGGCGTTTGGGTGGCGACACGGCGTGGCTCTGCACGATCTTGTCGAGTCCATCGCAGAAGGGCTTCCAAGCACCAGGCGGATAAGACTGGGGCTCGCCAGACGATGATGTCAGCCACTAAATAGACGTCAACATTATGTACCAGAGCCTTGTTAGCAAAGGCAATCAGCTTACCATATGATGCGTGTCGGTCTCCCACTCTTCCATGCGGTGGATGCGAGACATGCGCTCTTGGAACTCCGGAAAGTCGTCGGAATGGTAGAGCAGTACGCGACACTGCACCCATTCAGACGTGCCCGATACCTTGTGGAGCTTGGTAAGGTCGGCATGATCGGGCGCCGGCCTAACCAGCGCAATGAGAAAACCCAGCAGCGAAGGCAGGTAGCGGAGGATCAGAGACAACTGCCTTGTATGTCACCGACTGTATGGACCCCGTTGGAAATCGCGTACCTTGTTCGCTTGATACATGAATTCTTGATCGGTCTGCGCCATCGCGCAGAAGAAGATCATTGGACCTAGCGCCTTGTGGTGGTTGACGGCATCAACATGAATGGCGCTGTATTTCGGGCGGGAATGCAACACAGGCGTCTCGACCGTACTCTTCACCAAAGTGGCTACTGTTGAGCAGAGGGGATCGCCTTCGGCCTCGCGCAGGACCTTGGTCACAAGGTGAGTGATGCTGGTGGTGAGGTCCTCGTAAAAGGTCGGCGCGATGGCGACGCCTTTCCCCAGGTCGGGCCGGAAATCTATTCTACACCCAGTCAGTATATGAAAGGTATACATGATGCATATGAACGCACTGCATGCACCGAAGGAATGCTATCCACTGCAGGAACTCTAACTCCTGGCCGCGGCCGAGCTTGCAGTTCCATGTCTCGTCCAATATGTGTTGTAGCAACTTGTATGCATGCTCGCTGAGCCCGATGAGATCCTGATTGATCAAACGATGTGTCAACGAGCTTTTACGCCACATGAAACAAAAACTCGTACTCTTATCACGAACCCGTCTCTGTTGGCTTGATACCACTGGAATTGAAGCTGCCGAATATCTCCAAGGTACTTACACATGAGGTCACGCTCCTCGCGCCCTATCTCTGACCTGGCCGCGAGCCATTCCAAGAACCGAGGCGGGAGACCGCTAGACAAGGCGGGTATCGCCGGCACTGCCAGCTTCGCGAGCGTGGGGTATAACTCAAGTGAGCCCCGTGACCTTTCCCCTTGAAGCACGGCCTGAGGCATCTTGATCAGCTGCTGCTCGCTGAACGAGCGACCGGGGGATTGGATAGTCACTTTCGTTGGCTGACGGGAGGAGATTGGCGTTCGGGGCGGGTTGGAATCGTTGGTGTCCGAGCTGGGAACGTCGGGCTCCGTGTCATCGCTGCCGACGGAGTGGGTGTCAGAGCAGGAAAGAAGGTCTGAGAGGTTGTCGCCGCTATCAGACATGGTGAGGTCACCGTTGGGATACCGCTGCGGACTGACAGTTGAAGTTGAAGGCGACCGCGCGACTTGTCAGCCTCCCACTATAAGCTGCGCCCATGGGAACAGCAACGAGACAACAAACACAATCTCAACTTGCCGCCCCGCCACAACTTCGCAAGTTTATTCTCCATGTATGACAGTCGCCAGGCTCAATACCAACTGCTGTGCTTCAAGCCATATAACGCGAGAGCTCACCTTCCGCGAGCTCCTCCGGGAGCCTGGCTGGCCAAGATTCGCTCGGCCGCATGGGGTAGACGGGGTTCGCAACGCATTGCGAACCCATATTAGGCAATCTAGACACCCACCTGTGAAATCCATTAAGTCGTACTAACAAGTGGTCCGCGGACTCACACATATCGAGGAGGCCGCAAAGTGGGTTGTGGTGCTCATCTAATATGCCTAACTACCGGCCATACTAGGAAAGCATCCTGGGACCCAGTAAGTTAGTAAGGGCTAGGGAGAACTCACCAGTGGTTCCGCTTGTCTCCTTCAACCACACAGGTTCATGCTCAATTGACCGTCACAGAGGCTGAGGGACGGTCAGAACACACGAAGATGACAGCCGAGCGCGAAGGTGCGAAGGTATGGTCTTCTATTTGCGGCGCATCGCGGGGTACTTCAAGTTTACGTCTCATAGGAAATTGTATTGACGTTGGGCGCCCGCGAGCGGCTCACGTCCGGCTTTAGTGCGCTCTCAAGTTTGCTTTTCGGCTCTGTCTCAACTCTAAACTGGGTTGGAACTTTGGCCAACGAGGTTTAGGTGCGTCTGCAATATTCTGCACTCTGAACGTCAATTGATTGTCTCATTTCTCCTGGTAGCTGTGAACTGTGATGTTTCCAGATGCCCCGTTCGTCCGCCCAGGCTACGATGACGACCGGACCTGTCCTGCATGCGACAAAACTTTCAGGACGAGCCAGGGAGTCATGGCGCACTTGTCCACTGCCCGGTCGTGCAAGTGGTATAGGAAAGGCAAGAATGCGGCCCGACGAGTTCATACCGTCCCGGAAGTTGTGGAGAGCGAAGCCAATGAGGTGACCAGTTCGAGTGCCAGCTCTAGTTCCATGGACGTAGACCGCGAGGACTTCCTTGACGCCCTGGAACATGGTGATCTGTTTCATTTTGAAGTCCCTGAGTCTACGCACGCGGGCGTACGACTTCCAGGCGAGGGCGAAGCGTCGTCATCAACCGCGTGTAATGGCGCAGAACACCGGGTGCTCGAGATCCCAGCGTTGGACGACGATGAAGATACGAGAGTGGTTGAAGAAGACACTGTGGCTGGAAAAGTCATAAGGATGGAGAAGAGCATCGTCGAGACCTGGAGGGCGTACTTCGCTGAAGACCCAGGCCAAGATTCTGCTGGTGAGGATGTCCCAATGGACGTGGATGGGGAGGATGTATCGATGGACGTGGACGGCGAGGAAGATACCGACCCCAATCTCAAATGGAAACCCTTCGCATCCGAGTTGGATTGGCGGGTTGCAACGTGGGTTATCAGGGAGGACGTGGGGCAGAGAGCCATCAATAGGTTCCTGAGTATACCTGGGGTGCGTTGTTGGCTTCACGTCGACATGGAAATCTCTGATGCATTAGAATGGTTCGTAGGTAGTTGAAAAGCTGGGGCTCACCTTCAAAGACGTACGGCAGCTTTTTATGAAGGTCGATACCATCCCCGACAGAGCAACGTGGAAGACGACGTCTCTGACCTTTCCTGACCGACTGGACGAGGTACATCTTGTACGCTACCGGGATATTCTAGAGGCTATCAAAGCTTTGTTCGGTAACCCCGCCCACGCCAAAGATATTGTCTATCGGCCCAGGCGGGTCTTCGCGGATGTGTCCCGCACAAGACGGATATTCACAGAAATGTGGACGGGACTCTGGTGGAGCGCCGTACAGGTATATGAGTCCCATACTTCCCGTTTGGAAGGCACTTATCTCTGACTATATTCTTACAGCAATTGTTACCTGAGGGGGCGACCCTCGCGCCAGTCATCATCTCTACGGACAAGACACAGCTTACGCAATTTTCTGGCAATAAATCGGCGTATCCCGTCTACCTCACGCTCGGCAACATTCCTCGCGCCATACGCCGCAAACCCTCGGAGCACGCTTGTATTCTACTCGGGTACCTACCGGTCTCCAAAGTCGGGAAGGAGAAGCTAACGAAGCGCGAGCGCAAGGCCCGATCTCAGCGACTCTTTCACGCCGCCATGAGCGTGATCCTTAGGCCCCTTGTACGCGCGGGAGTGGAGGGAATGGAGGTGACTAGCGGAGATGGCACTGTGCGGCGAATACATCCCGTCTTGGCCTCCTACGTCGCCGACTACCCCGAACAGACCCTTGTAACCTGTTCCAAGTACGGGACTTGCCCGAAGTGTTGCTGCCCAGCAGACAAGCTCGAAGCCGACTCAGTCAGTGAGGAGCGAACTGCGGAGAGCACCGGGAATATCATTCGAGAGGCTTGGGCCGATGGGCACAGCGCGAGTGCCGCTGAATCCTTGTGCATGGACAGGGATGTTAGCGGCGGCGTGAAGAAACCGTTCTGGACCGACCTACCCTACACGGACATCCACATGTCCGTCACTCCGGATATCCTGCACCAGCTCTACCAGGGCATCTTCAAGCACCTGGTGACTTGGTGCGAGGATCTCCTGAGCCCCGAGGAGCTTGACAGCCGTCTCCGCTGTCTCCCACCGGCGTTCGGGATCAGACACTTCAAGCACGGCATCTCAAGTCTCGCGCAGGTCTCCGGCAAGGAACGCAAGGAGATGGCGCGAATCCTCCTGGGCTGCCTCATTGGGAAAATCCCGAAACCCGTAATGCTAGCATTTCGTTCGCTCCTTGACTTCATTTACCTGGCTCAATACTCTACCCATGACGACGCCACTCTACAGTACCTCACTGACGCGCTGAAGACCTTTCACAAACACAAGGAGGTTCTCGTCAAGCTCGGTATACGAGACCATCTGAACATACCTAAGCTGCACTCCCTCCTCCATTACATCCAATCCATCAGACTCTTCGGCACGACCGATAATTATAACACGGAAATGTTCGAAAGGTTGCACATCGACCTTGCGAAGGACGCGTGGCGAGCCTCAAATCACAAGGATGAGTTCCCGCAGATGGTCCGATGGATTTCGCGCCGAGAGAAGATCGCACTTTACGAGGTCTTCCAGAAGGAGCGTCGGACCGACAAAGAAGAGGAAGAGCCACCAGAGGAGGAGGGCGAGCGAGTAGTCGAAGACGAGCACGGAGCGATGCTAGACCAAGCGGAAGTCGAGGACACAGCTCACACAATAGGCCCGAGCTCCGTCAAGATTGCAAAGTACCCGCCTGCGCCTCAGCAACATCTCGGGCGGATCCAAGAGCGTCACAACGCTCCTGGATTCACCACGGCTCTGGTGAAGCTCATCAACGACTTACAACCCGACGAACTCAGGCTCAATCGGCGGGAGCTGGCGAGGACCTGGTTACCGTTCGAGCGCGTGGACGTGTACCATAAGTTCCAGTTCAAGCGCAATGAGTTGTCTGACGGGAAGGACGAGCGCGACGTCGTCAAGGCAGTGCCTGGTGGGCTCAGACAGGGACGCAAGAACCGCTTCGACACCATCATCGCACTGGACACCGAAGATGCAGAATCAACGGGTGTCAAAGGTGAGTCTCGTATTCGTGTGTGCGGCACTTCTGACACGGTTGCACATCACAGGAACAAGAGCTGGAAGAGTGAAAGTCATCTTCACGTTGCCCAAAAAGCTCTCGGCGGCCCAAGGAGGAGGTGCTGCCCCATCATGGTGGCCTCAAGAACCGCTGGCCTACGTAGAATGGTACACTCGTTTCGCCGGCACCCCTGATCCAACGCATCTCATGTATGCGGTGAGTAAACCAGCGTTGCGGGCTGATAGCCTACCTCAGGGAACAATCATACCTCTCCGCCAAATCCGCCAATCATGCCAGCTCATCCCAGCTTTTCCTGACGGTCCTAGAGGGACCGTTCCCGCGGATTGGACCTCGGAGAACGTCCTGGACCTCGCTAATCGGTTCTACTTGAATAACTGGGCGGGGATTTATGCGTATCAGACGCTATGGTGAATGTAAGTTCCGCACACTAAGTTTCCGCTGCCGTGACCTGTGTTCTTGATAAGACAGCTTATTAGAGTACCTATACTACGTGACTCCGGAACCTGGCGGAATTTGTGCTATGTTCGAGCACGGATCACGCTGTTGCTTGTTTTTATTGCGGGTAGTACTACGCTGTAACCGTAGTAGCCTAATATACGAGCCTGAGGATCTTGAAGTGATTTGACGCTCGCCGGCGACTTTGCACTTTACGCGCGCGGTGCCATACGCTTTGCTCTCTCTTGATCGAGTATCACGACTCTTCCCTCCTGCCGCTTATCTACGCTCTTCAAGCTCTCTCAATGCAAGCAATCGACTCTCGCGTCGCTCAAATACTGGCACGCCATCTCCCAACGTTCAAGACTGTCGTAAGACAAGCGGAGCGATGTTCGGTGGTGTCTGAGACTTGCCATATCACCGTGGTTTGTCTGCGGAAAAATAGGCTTGGGAGCGTGTTCAGCTATGTGAGTCTGCAGTAGTTCTTTTTCTCTATGCTCATCATCAGTACTCTGCACAATCTAGTGCCCGATATTCAACACATCTTCCTGCCCGATGAGGCCGCACAAGACCATCCAACTATTGCAGCAGAAATTACACTCGGCTCTCCGTCGTATCGAAGAGCTTGATCCGCCAGCACAGCTGGGCGGATGGTTCTTCCTGGGTGCGATTCCCGACAGCTACGGCGGGCAAGACAGATGGGTGCCAGCCTGCCTCAAGGGTACGACGAGGAAAGCACTAGTGCCGGTTTTATTCTATTATTTGGTGCGTGGTACATATTCCTTGACACTGCGGTCTGACAAATGCCGGAACTGAACAGGACCACTATGCTCCCCTATCCATCCCGCTCATATGTGACGTATACGACGACAAGATCTCCATTTCCTTGGTTCAGCCCCTGACCATCCAGGTCTTTCCGGGGCTGAACAAGGCCAAATCTCGAGTATTAACAGTGTACGACTATTTCAACACCGTCACAAACGAGTTCATCCGGGCGGATACGCCCGAGCAAGACTTCCCTCTCCCTCTCCGCCAGATCCCTCTCTACAGAGCGTCCCTCATCGAAGACACGGACCTCGCAGGGAGCTACGCGCGAGGCGAGCGGCCCATCGTCCCTTTGTGCTCCATGAAGGTGGGATTCGTCGACTTGCCGTTCCTATGGCCTGTGGGTCTACAGAATCCTTGTCGGTACCTACGCGCGAACTGGAAGGTCGTCCACCGTCCCCATCCCATGGGCCAGGTCGCCGTGCGACCCTTCGAAGGTGAAGACGGCTGCATCGTGATAACTGTGGAGGAAGGAGTGGAGGAACACTAGGGAAGGAGCATGGGATTGCAGTGTCACGGTGCGTCTTCCATTTCCTATACGGTATCTACTGTCTCATTTCTATTCCTCTCCCACATCAGTGCAAAACTCGTCGCTCCGCCCTGTATCTACCCATGCCACCTACGTACCCGCGGCGCTGTCCTTTCCATCGTCCTTGCTATACCTGCCTCAGGTTCCCGTTTAGTACACTGTAGTGCCTGGCGGTAGCTGTCACCTGCGCACATATTTATTCCTCTCGTTTACCGTGTACAGTAGCTTACAACATTGTGAATGGTAGCTGATCTTGGTGAACACATCCACGAGAAATGAGCACGCGGTGCCTACAATTGCCCGCCATCTCGCTCGCCCACCCTCACACTTGCCCGTGTCCAAGTCGCCCGCCTTTTCGCTTCCCGAGTGTCCGGCGAACCACATCAGCGCGAGATGCAGAAGTCCAAGGAGGTGTCCGCCTGGACTTTCAACTCCTGTAGCACTGGTGGCAGTACTCCAGCTCCGCACCCATTCCAACACTCCCAGGTCCGGGCGGGTCCATCCTTGTCCAAATCCAGCAACATCTGATGCCGTTGGCGGGCAGTTTGGTCAGTATGCGCCTGGCGGATGGCTTGTTCGTGGGACACTGGCAGGGACAGCTACTAGTACTAAGCCAGACCGTGTACTTTCACCTCTTTGATTTCTTAGTATTGTAGACATACTTTTCGGTTTCAAAGTTCCTACCAGCTGGGTAATGACATACATTCAACCATTGGGAAACATCTGGTGTTGAAGTGAAAGAGGTTTAGAAGGGCTTGTTAGGCCAGTGGAAGTGAAGGACAGTAGAGTGGAGTGAACAGACCTATCCCAGAGGGAAGACTCTGATGCTAGGCAGGCAGAAGAGAGGAGAGATCGTTATCCATTAGGGGGAATCACCCTAGTATATATACATGTCTGGGACTGATCACATGCTACATCAGTAAGCAGATCAGTAATCACTAAGTCCGAGTTTTAGGGAAATGAGTAAGCCTTAACTCCAGAGATAGGGATATGCATAAGCGTCCATGTGATCAAGGAATGTACTGGAAGGTCATGGAACATGCCGGAAGGGAGTGGAATGATCCAGAATAAGTCTGGAACAGTGTAGATCGGTCTGGAGCGAGTCACAAGATGAGTCCAGACAGAGTCCATCAAAAGAATGTATGTAATACTACATCGCAGAACACAAGTCCATATATGTACGTAACTGATAAGATAAGATAACACTGGAAAGTCGGAAGTTCAACACTCCCACTTGTTCAAGATGTCAAGTATCTCATCATGCCAACTGAAGACCTGAATTTCTCAATTCCACTGAATGGAACATTCTTGGTCAAGGCATCAGCAAGTTGGTCTTCACTTGCGACGTAGTAGATCTCCATTTCTCCACGTTCGTAGAACTCCCGAATATAGTGATAACGGATTTCTATATGCTTGGTGCGGCGATCCACAGCAGGGTTCACCGCAAGGAAAATGTTGCCTTGGTTGTCAAGACAAAGCGGAGTTGGATGAGACATATTATCTCCCAGTTCTTCTCCAAAATGACGTAGCCAGGCCATCTGACGACAGCAGTCAGAGCTGGCCTTATACTCTGCTTCAGTTGAAGACAAAGATACCGTCGGTTGACGTCTTGACACCCAAGAAACGACACAATTGGCCATAAGGAAAGTAAAGCCACTTGTAGAGTGCCTATCATCGTGATCTTCACCCCAGTCAGAGTCTGAATAGGCAATCAGACCAGAATTCGAGCCTCCGTCATAACAGAGAGCGAGTTCCTTAGTCCCTTGAAGATATCTTAGGACATAGTAGGCTAACCGCATATGCTCTTTGGATGGGTTTGAAGAATACTTTGCCAGACGTGTGACCGCGAAAGAAATGTCTGGACGAGTACCGAGCATAGCATACATGATGCTGCCAATAATGCTCTGGTAGCGGGTACGGAAAACCTCAGATGCTGTGTCTGGATTCTTCTCTAGGTCTGCTCCAGCGGGAAGAGGTGTCCGTGCAGGCTTGCAGTTGGACATCTGAAACCTCTCCAAAACTGACTCAATATAGTCTTCCTGATCAACGTAGATGAGACGTGTAGTACGCTCTCGACGTATTCTAAGACCAAGGAATCGCTGAACAGCACCCAGATCTGTCATCTGATACTCTAAGGACAACTTCTGCTTGATGTTGTCGATAAACAATTTCGAGTCACCCATGATGAGCAAGTCGTCGACATACAATATGATTAGGCAGGTGTGTCCGTCAGAGTCCCGGGAGAAGACATAAATTCCAGCATCCGAATAAGTCCGTTTAAACCCTAAGTCTAGGAGAGACTTGTGGATCTTAGCATTCCATTGACGAGAAGCTTGCTTTAATCCATAAATTGCCTTCTTGAGAAGACAGACAAAGTTCTCCTTGCCAGGTACAACCCATCCTTCGGGTTGTTCCATGTAGATTTCCTCGTCAAGGTCACCGTTAAGGAATGCCGTCTTGACATCCATAGACTCTATCTCCCAATCTTCAAGGGCTGCATGTGCCAACAAGTAGCGTACAGATTCAAACCGTGCAACCGGAGAGAAAGTCTCAGTATAATCTTGACCCCATACTTGGGTAAATCCCTTTGCGACAACACGTGCTTTATAGCGACCATCGTGCTTAATCGCATAAACCCAACGGCACTTGACAACCTTCCGGTTTTTAGGCCGTGGAACTAGAACCCAAGTCTTATTGTCCATGAGTGACTTGTACTCAGAACCTTCAGCAGCGAGCCATTTATCATGGTCGTGAGATTCCATGGCTTCCTTATGACTTTGGGGAAGACCATGGTTTGCTTCCGCCAGCATCCGTATAAATTGAGCAGTTTCAGCCTCAGGTTGTTGACGGCCTTGACTATCAGTACGACGGTCAATACTTGCTGGTGGCTCGTCACCATAGGCATTGTCTCTATTCCTCTGAGGGTTCTGTCCAGCACCTTGACGGCGAGGACGCTCATACTGAGGTTGCGGAGGAGCTACTGGATCAGGTTGCTGTTGCGGATTATCTCCCACTGGCTCCTGATGTTCTTCAGGTTCATGTTCCGGCGGGACAGGAACAGGGATAGGAATATCCTCAAAATCTAAATCCTCTGAGTTGGCATCCTCAGGAGGTTCATCAAACGGCTCATCCAGGGATTTCGGATTATTGCCTAAGTCCTTTCGTGCAGGAAATGTCTCTTCATCGAAGGTCACATCACGAGACACAACAATACTTCGAGTAGCCGGGTTCCAGAAACGATACCCTTTGGAACCAACTTCATAGCCTACAAAGATCATCTCAACAGCCTTCTTGTCGAGCTTCCCAGATCTCTGTTCTTTCTGCACATGCACAAATGCCTTGCACCCAAAAATCCTAAAGTATGAAATGTCCGGAATTGTGCCATTCCAGAGAGTAATGGGGCATTGCCAGTTAAGGCGTCGCATAGGTTGCCGATTATAAATATGAACCGCAGTGTCCACAGCCAATTGCCAAAAACCATGGCTTAGTCCAGCATGATGCAGCATAGACATAGCCTTCTCAACAATGGTCCGATTCCAGCGCTCAGCTCTCCCATTCTGTTGAGGAGAGTACGGCATTGTGAACTGATGTTCAATACCAAATTTGCGCAAATGTTCGGTAAAAGCAGCAGACGTATATTCCCCCCACGATCCGAGCGTACAGCCTTGATTTTTTCATCTGTTTGGTTCTCAGCCCATGCCTTGAAGTCATCGAACGCTTGGATCGAATCGTTCTTGTGCTTGAGATAATAGGCACGACCAAGACCAGTATAGTCGTCAAGAAAGCTGATGAAATAACGCCATCCACCTATTGCAGTGGTACGCATAGGACCGTCCTCATCAGTATGAATGAGCTCAAGGGGCTTTGTAGCACGTTTAGCCGATGGGGGAAATGGAGCGCGATGAGACTTGCCCCACTGACACCCTGCACAAGGAGAAGAAGTATCCTTGGCACCAATGGAATCCACACCCTTAGTGTGCTTGGGAATCTGACGAATAACATCTTCAGACGAATGTCCGAAGCGTTCATGCCAGAGACGAAAATTCGACTTGTCTGTAGACTTTGCCGATTGCGGTGTCAAAATGTCTAGGTACAACATATAGAGATTATTGAAGGGCTTATGGTGTGCCTCCATGATCATGTTACCACAGACTCGACCTTGCGAAATAGGTTGGTCATAGATGACCATACGACCTCCTCCCTGAACTAGGGTAAAACCTGATTGCTCAATAACACCAGTAGAAAATAGGCGACCAGATGCGGCAGGGATGTAAGCAACATTTGTAATAGTTGCTTTAACATGTTTCCCTTCAACGTGCACAACACCTTTGATGGTCCCTTCTCCATAAGCTGCAATCTTAGACTTGCCGGCTGTACCAAAAATCATGGGTTCCTCGTAAGGAGTATAGTCCCAAAAATCAGCCATGTCGTTGGTGATTGTCTTCGACGCACCAGAATCCATAATCCAGTCAGTCATTCTTCCAGAAGCGGAGTGACCCGCAGTATACCAGGAAGCAGTCATAGTATTAGCTGAAGACGACACGGAGGATTCTACAGTTACAACATTTGTGGAGTCTGAAGTAGTAGCAGCGTTGGAGGAACCAGAACCAGATTGTCCGTTACCATTGCCCTTGCCCTTATTCTTCCCTTTGCCTTTGCCCTTGTTGTCCTTTTTCCCCTTGCCGCCACCCTTATTTTGGGGGCGCAAATGCGGGTACTTTGTCCAACAATTCTCACTGCCGTGATTTCCACCGCAGTGACCACAGGGACCCGATGACTTGTGCTTGACCTGGGATGTCTTGGACGCAGACTGTCCCATACCAGACCGGCGGAGAGATTCTTCGGCAAGAATCTTCGACTGAACAGAGTCGACCTTGAGATCCTTGATGTTCTGCGTCGCCATGAGCGCAGAGATCATCGATTGATAGGATTCAGGCACCTTCGACAGAAGGAGAAGAGCC